TTGTGAAATGTTTAAAATTCTGGGAATGTTTTGGAGGTGATCTAAATGCTAGAGCCCTGATAGGTGGGGTTGGTTGTCGGTGGTTGTTTAGGGAGGTTGGTTGCGGGTTTTGGTAGTCATGCTCAAATAAGAAACAAAAAGAAAAAAACTAGATTCACAGATCTCTATCTTTCTTTTTCTCCCCTCTATTCTTCTTTCTCTCCTATTTAGTGATAGGGGTTGAAACAGGAGGGGGATAAAGGGTGAGAAAGAGAAGAACCCACAAACTAGCAAAGCCAGCTATAAGCAAAGAAGAAACAAGAAATTAGATTCAGATCTCTTTTTCTCCCTACCTCTATCCATTCTCTGTCTAGTGATAGGGGCAGGAACTGGAGTGTGGGGAGGAGGTCAAGGATGGGAAAAAGAACCCAAGAGGTGCCCAATGTGGGGCTCAAAAGATTAAGAATAAAAATGGAAATTTTGATTTCAAATGCTGTAGAGGACATGGCAGGGCACACAGGAATATTTTCTTTTTCGAGCCCAGCAAAAACTTTATTGTGGCTGTTGTTGTGCTTCGATGGGAAGGTGTTTGGGAAACCCAGGAACCATGCAGCTCTGAGATGAGGTGTCCCAGTGGAAGGGCACCTGAGACACAGGGGCCCAGGAACCACACAGCTCTGAGGGAAGGCCTCAGCAGAGGTGCTGCAGCTCACAGGGGAGGGTAACCCAGCTGAGGTAAGAAGTTCAGCAGCCTCAGCCCCATTCACTTCTTTCTCTCCATTGCTTCTGACTTCTTCCAATGAGTCACACCATAAATAAAGGATTTATTGGAGTGTTCAGCGAGTACCCGATGAATCCAGGTTTGCCTGCCTCTGTTCTTGGGAGAAGTCAGCAGACAACTGAGCAGGCACAGCCTTTATATAGAATTTCTTAGGGGGTGGAGCTTTCTAGGGCAGCGATTTTCAGGGTGAGGATTGGTGGGATTTCAAGTCGTGGGCTTGGTATGTTTTTCTGCTCAGGGATTGGTGGCTCCAGACAGCAACACCTCAGACTACAGAGCAGCTGAGCTAAGCTGAGCTCAGGTCTCCACAGCCCTGGGACCTGAGATCAGATGCGTGGAGAAACCAAGTTGTGGCTGCTGACAGGAAACTCAGGGGGAGGGAGGTGCAGTCCCTTCTCTGTGGTGGCCAGCAGCATAGGCTGAAGATTCAAGCACCCCTCTCCGGACCACAGGGAGGTGTCACCCAAAATGGCTGGGAAAGATGGACGGGGTGCCCAGGGGCAAAACTTGAAGCTGCCTAGCCTGGCTCCTCAGGTGGAGACCTGAACATTTTCCTGCAAAGTATACAAAGTTTACAGAGGGAGTGCAAGGCAGGGAAGGCTTTCCTGGCTGCTTGAGTCAGTATGACTCCCCAACAGCTGCTACTGCTGGGTAGCCCCTGCTTTGTTTCCAGAAGGGGTTTTCTGTTTTTTCTTTTTCTTCTTTGTATATTTTGTTTCAAAAAAGTTTAAAAGACTTGCTGAGCAGCTGGAAAATTGCTGGTGGAAATGGAGGGGCCTAAGGGAGGAAAATGGCTAAAGTAGAGAAGGGTCACACTACTCTCTTTTCTGAAAGGGTTGCAGAGTTTTCAGTGCCACTAGAGAGGTTGGGTGGAGGAGGCAAGGGACACTGGAAAACAGAACAAAAAGGCGCAGCCCCGGTGAATGAGCAAGACAGCAGGAGTTTGTCTCAGGAGGAAGAGGGAAAGAAACTGCACTGGAGGGTGGGGTCCGAGAAAAGCTGAAAAAACAGAGCAATCGAATGAATCAGCCCATTTTTGGAGAAAGGGCTAACAGTAAGCCAGCTGTGCCGCCTGTGCAGCAGGGATGGCCTGCTGCCTGACACAGCACTGCCTCCCCATGCTCTGTGAGACCCTTCTAAGGAACATGTGCCTTGAGACTGCTAGTGTGACGTGGCCTGATCGGTGCGGTCTTCATGCAGATTTGTGTAGAGTCGGAAGTCCCGCTTTGGCTATCTTCTCTTTCTCCTATACGCCATGTTGCCTAGATGTGTGTTGGAACTACCTGCAGTTTCCCTGTGATAAATGTGACTCAGTTGTTAGACACGGGGGCCTTCTGGGAGAAGAAATTAGTCTTGGGAGAAGGCTGGTTCTCTCTAGGTCAGCACCCTTCCACTGGTCTGGGTGGTCATGTGGAAGGGTAACGCTGTGAACACTGTGCAAGCATTCTTCCATTGTGCCTCAGCACCACCTTTTTGATAAGCATCACGGCTGTTTCCCACCTTGGTACTAAGTACCTGAGGTATAGAGAGGCTATGGTGGTCCCAAGGTACACAGAGGCACATATGGGATGTGGACATGGGCGGTCTGACCCCAGTGCTTCCCATATCCTGAGATATCACGTAGGCTTCTTTCAGAGATCATAAATATTTGTTAAAGACAAGCAAGCCATACATATTTGGTTAGTATTTTTGTAGAGCATGTTAGCAACAAATTCTCTCATTTAAGAACTATGACAATAGAGGGTTGGTGAGATGGCCGAGTGGATAAGGACACTTACCATGTACGTCTGGGACCCAAGTTCAATCCCCAGAACCACTAATTCAAAGGACAGAACTGACGCTAAAGTTGCCTCCAACTGCACATGTACATTCACGAGCACACACATACATGCACGCTAAAATGAATGACACCAGGAGTGGCGGTGCATGCACGCAATCCCAGCAGTCACCACGGCGAGGCGGCACTTTGAACTCAGCTACTCTGAGCTATGCGGTGAGCCCAAGCCCTGTGTGTTGGCTCCCAAATCTAACAGTCTGACTTGCCCTCACCTTGGACAGTTGCTGAGGGCTTTGGGCCAGCAGTCTTCCTTTTGAACTTGGCATCCCTCCTTGCCCTTGTTACAAGAAAACAGCTGTTCTGAGCAGCCTCAGAGGAGTTTCTTGCTGCCATCTCTGACTTTCAACGGTTTGATTACAATGTATGTAGGTGTGGCTCTTTTTCACTTAAAGTTCCTTCAGTTTAAAAATGTAAATTTTTTCTATCATATTTGGTTTTGCCAAATTTCCTTCGAGACAAGTTCTTAAGCAGCCCAGGCTGGCCTGGATTTACATACCTGAGTTTAGCCTTCAACCACTGATCTTTCTTTCTTTATTCCCCAAGTGCTGGAATTACAGGTGCAGGCTACCACACCAACCTCATATTGTTTTTTTTTTTTCTTTCAAAAATATTTAAAAAATAACTTACTTGTAATAAGTAATATTTATTTATTTATTGTATGGGCATGTACAGTTCAGAAGACACATGTGCAGTTCAGAAGACAATTTTCAGGAGTCAGATTTCTTTTTCAGTGTGGATTCTGGATATGAAACAAAGGTTTTCAGGCTTGGTGGAAAGCGCCTTTATCTGCTAAGCCATCTCCTTAGCCTACAGTGTTTCTTAGAACATTTTTAAGGTGTTCCTCTCCATCCTCTATGGGTTACTATGTGTCCATACATTTCTCTTTATTCTGTACTACCTTTGTTCCTTGGATTGGATAGTCCTTCTTTTTCTTTTTCTTTTTTTTTTTTTTTTAATTTTTTTGAGACAGGGTTTCTCTGTATAGCCTTAGTTGTCCTGGAACTCACTCGGTAGGCCGGCTGGCCTTGAACTCACAAGAGATCCACCTGCCTCTACTTTCCAGGAGCTGGAATTACAGGCATGTCTCTGCCTCGTTGGTTTATGTGATTACCTAGCAGGTAAATCAGTATTTCTTTAAGTACTTTGGACCAATTAATCCCCTACTCATCACGCATAGAAACAATACCAGGACTTCTGTAGATCCTCTGCAGAAATGCAATCTCCTCATTCACATCTTCTATGTCCCCCAAACACTCAAGTTTGTTTCTGGATTTTCCTTTGTTTTGTCATCATCTGTCTCTAGAGGTAACACAGGCTCAGGCAGCTGCAATGACAACGTTTAACAAACACAATAGACATTGATTTCTCAGGATCCAGACAGGTCACACTGTAGCAGTTTTCGGGAATAAGACATTTCTTTCTCCTGTGGAGGTCATAGGTTCTCACTGCTGTTGTGATCCCAAGGCTGCAGTATGATTTTCTTCATGTTTATACTTGTTAGTTGCTATTACTATGAGGATGTAAGAAATGGAGCCTTATAGTCCCATGCGTAACCCATTAAACGTCTGTTAAAGCCGAGTTTTTTGGATTACTCTCTTGAGGTCAAGTCGATAACCATTTCTGGAGATGCCTTTTCCTCTGTATGTTCACTTAGACAAAGTATTTCTTTTTATAGGAAATCTTTCGAGGAGTTCCAGAATAAGAGATCAGTTCCCATTTTTGTGGCCCAACTGTTTTGTAGGTGAATTATGCCTCCACCTTCTTATCCCTGTTATTACATGTTCACTTCATTTATGTTCACCTTTAATAAAACTGTCCGGAGCTAACTACAATTCTTTATGTGAAAACTCATTAAAATGGGAGTCTTGTATGGCCTGGAACTGTTTACAGATCATTTATTCAGAAAATATGAGAGTTATCTTGCATGCTAAGAATAGCCATCACAAATCAATACTCATACTGTGTCTGCTCTTAGTGGTTTATAGTCCATGCAGAAAATTATAAGCAATGTTCAAATGAAACTTCGTTATGTAAGATGAACAAAAGTAACATGGTGGCAGGGTCTTTATCAAGGAGACTACTTAAGGTCAGACTGCTGGTAAAGACACTGAGGAAAGCAACTTTAAATTTATGTGAAGGGAAGTAGACAAGTTCTCCGTGTTCTGGCCTTATTTAGTCTACTTTTCCTACTCAACCATTCCCTTTCAAAGAGCTGGCTGCTGGCAAAGCTCCAAGTCTGTGAGCTAGGTAGAGAGAAACTAGGATGGGAACAAGAGGACTATCAAGCCACTTGAACAGTGAAAGAATGTGCAAATAGCAAATATACCTGACACAGCGTGTGAACTGTCCAAATTAACTGTTTCCACATTCAACTTGTTCATAGCAAGAGACAAACAAAACATATTACAAGTACACTAACATAAAAGGTTTATTGAATAAATACATGTGCTGTTAATATAAAATTAATTAAGCAGAAAGGACATTCTATGATTTAAAACAAACAAACAACAAAAAACAAAAGCCAGCCTCTATGGTCCGCCTCTACAGTGGGTAATCCAGATGGGACCCGTCATTGCAGGAACCTGTACTCTCTGCATCTGCCTGAGGTTTTTAAGATAATTCGAAAGTCTCTGAGGACTGCCCTCTGCGTAAGGACCATCTATAGAGGAGATGGACAGTGCAGAGTCCACGTGGTGGCAACACAGTTGCAAGGCTGCTTGTGTTTTCATCTGAACCGTGAAAACACTTTGTACTTTAAGGCACAGAAGACACCACTGAATAAGTTAGCAGAGCTGTACTTCAGATCCCTAACTTCCCCTCATTGGTTTGGCTCAAAGTAGAAAACTTAAAGTTCTTTTTCCTAGGTAAGCCATCAAAACTAAAAGTTATCATTCTGAGAACTCGAAGTATCTTCTATCTTCAGGACACTGGAGCATGCTTTGATGGCAACTCAGTTCTGCCCAGGCTGGTCACAGAAGGAAGTACAACCAGGATCACTGGACCTTCTCTCCTTTCCAGTGTGGAGAGAGGTACTGGAGGATTCAGATGGCGCAGGCGGGCACTGCATCTGAATTCATTGGCGCCAGCTTTTGTGACTGTATCATAGGGCATCCCACTGAGGTGTTATACTCATTTATTAGGGGACTGTACCCTTATCCGTACTCAATTTGCCTAATTGCTTAAGAAAAACATCTCATTAAATTAAAAAAAAATGCACTGAACGGATTGAGTATGTGGGTGCAAATCCAAGATGTTTAGGTTGTTGGTGAAAAGTCATTGACATGATACAATTTCAGCAAGAAAATCTCCTTCATAGATTTTAACATAAGCCCTTCAGTGGACCTAATTAAAAAGACACTTAAGAAACAATCTGAAACCCTGGCCAAGCAACTAGTTTTAATAAGATATTATCTGCTTTTCTCCTGCAACTAAAATGCCACCCTTGCATGTTTTATGTGCATGTATGTTCATATGTGTGACATATACATAAGCTTTCTCCCAAACCTGCACACTAGTGGAAAAAGACTTGGAAACAGGATTAAGAGGAAGGCGTCAGCAAACAGGAGATGGAGGCTACACACTCCACCAACTGTACGCGGTTCCTCACACACTGAGGCGCGCTTTCATCTGCTGGACAGGAGGAGAGTGTGACAGGGACTCTGGGTCTCATCATAGGCACTTTGGCATGTTTGGCCACATAGACTTCCCATACGCTGTTTACTTCCAGGAAGCATGTGAAAGGAACTCCTCCAACTTTGATTACAAAGCTGTATTTTCCTGCTGTACGTGTACATAGTTTTAAATGATCTCATAGCTGAGAAGCCCTTTTCATCCTGCAGCTTAAAATGCACACTGAAAAATATCTTTATACATTTGTGCAAATTTTGTTTACGGACATGCATAGCTTATAATACTGTGATTTACAGCCTCACCTCACAAGAGGTTTGGGGACTCTTACACATGTAAAATATGCTCCTCATAATCTAAAAAGAAAAGGATTACAAAATAAAAATTGTATAATGCTAATATTAACATCTGGCATGACACAAAATGAGGGTATCCAGAAAATGGCAAGACTGACAGCTCTGTTTCTGGCCCTGGGCAGGATCTGTCTGTCATGTGGGGTCCCATGTATCAGGGGACGCACAGAAAGCCCTACCCACAGGTGTGTAGGGCTATCCTGTGTGATGGATATAGAACCAGCTTCTCCCACCAAGGGCAAGTGCAGCATAAGTCTTTAGCACAACACCCTTTGTACTCTTCCATCCTATTTCTCCACTACACCCCAACAATAGACCTGTCTTTATACGGTTAGAAACACTGACAAAACAAGCCAGGCTTGCATCACTCTGGACAACACCTTATTCCCCAAGACTGAAGACTAGTTCCTATGCTTTGGGCAAAGTGTAAAGTATGTATCTCTTTTTCCCTAGATAGGGTCTTGCTGTGTAGCACAGGCTGGCCTTTAACTCTTGGTCTTCCTGCCTTGGCCTCTCCTATATCTTGGGATTACAGATGTGAGGTACCACACCTGGCATGTTTATCTCTGTACTATTCCATGAATCTGTTAGAACAAACAATTACAAATAAACAGCACAGTATTTTCCTATGTAATAAATTTCAGATGAGCATACTGCGATTCATGAGCCTTGACAATACTCTTAGTATTGTCCATTACTCAGGTATACAATTTTTAAATAAGCCGTTCACTGATTTCTCACTGTATCTTCCTATTTATAATAATGTTAATAACTTGAACACTTTCTTTTATCATTCATACCAGACATAAATATCCTAATACTTAATAATTTTTTCATTTTTCCCTTAAGAAAGTCATACCACACAATTGATCTATGAGAACTTTTTGCTGAAAACCTGAAAGTGATTACTTGTCAAAAATTTAATGTCTTAGAAGAAAGTGTCTCCTTGGCGCATTCTCTTCTTTGTGCACACCAGCGTGCAGACATTAGGGAACGGAGTCTATTTACATGGTGCCAGGCACCCCCGGGGGCAGGGCAGGACCAAACGAGCAAGTCCAGGCGCCTGTCTTCCAGCCTGTGCGGCTGCCGGCGTCCCACACAGCACGCTGCTGCGCTGCTGCGGCGCAGTGCCTGCCGGAGCACTGGGACAGGGAAATTTAACAACCACATTTGGCCACATTTTCCTATGATGCCTGCAATTTATAAAACTCTGAAGGTGTGTATAACTCGATACCTAATATTATAAAAATAGCATTGGTGCATCTGCGAGAAGGTGTGTTTCATGTTGAGGTGGCGCGATCCACCGGAGAAACAGGCCTACGTCCAGTGCAGCTACCTTATCACCTGCGGCCTTGTTCCATCTTCTGTGAGGTCGTACCTGAGAGGGCACAGAAAAGCACAACAGACGTGGGTCAGGCTTTGGGGTGGTGAACAGGACTGGGTTTCTCTGAGGACTGCCTGCAGCCTGGGATAGGGGCACTCACCACTGGGTCCAGCCCTTGGCGAGCTCTTCAGATGCCAGAGCAACCAGCACCTGTGGGTTAAAAGAAGGAACTTGTGAAAATCGCTGAGTAATTCCACTCACCACTCCTTCTACTTCTCTAATTTCTTATCTTAATTTAACAATATGGAACCCTCTTGTTTTGAGGTTCTCATGTTAGAAGTGTTTTCAACCTTTGCGTGGCTGAGCATATCCAAGAGATTCTTCTTGTATCTGACAGTATTACAATTATTACAAAACACATGCAGAGACTGTTGACTGTAAAAGGCTCATGTTTTAAAAGCTTGGTTTGTCAACTAGCTGGGCATCTTTCTCAAAGAACGCTCTGATGTAATCAGTGGGCTAGTCCAATGGTGGCCTCACTGCCATGATGGCAATGGCAGGGTGGAACCTGCTAAAGGAAGCGGGTCACTAGGGATGTGTTCCGGAAGCTACACTTTCTCTGCTCTCTGGCCACCGGGAGGTGGGCGGCTCGGACATGCTCCCCACCATAATCTTCTGTCTTCCCAACGGCCCAGAAATAAAAGTGCCATGTGCCCCATGCACGGAGACTTCTGAATCAGGAGACAAAACTAAACCTCCTCTCCTTTAAACTGGCGCCCTTAGGCGTTTTTCATGGCCTGGGTGACAGAGATTTTTCACTTCTGCTGCTGACAAAGTGGCACCTACAACTCAAAACCCCTATATAAACCTCTGTATACTGTGAGAGAGTAAATAAACCAAAGTTAGCTGAGATGGAAAAGAAAAAAGAAAATGTGGAGAGAGAAAGCCAACAACATGCTAAAGGAAGCACATGATTAGCTGAGTGGTAGCTGGTGGCCGTTTGAGGATATTTTCCTTCCAGTGCAGTACTGAGCAGTTTTTAAAGTTTTAGAAACAAACAAACAAACAAACACACACCCAACCTGTCTTCAACGGCAAGCTCCTGACGGTAGTATGGGTAATAAGCTGATAGCATGAATGCATGGAAACAGCTATGTCCTGATGACTTAGTCCAATGGAATAAACAAGCATTAGCCAGAGCGAGCTCCCCCTCCCACTTAAGTAAGCCCTGATGCACACTGCACTGCAGGAAGTGTCTACTTTTACAATGTGCGGGACACAGGACTTAAAAACTTACTTTGCCAAGAAGCCCTTTGTCTTTGGACAAGAAGCCACCACTGTTCTTCACTGCCACATCCAGGGTTCTCCTCTGCACCTCGGGCAGTGAGACACTGAAATCGAAGCTGCAGGAAACACGGCTATGTCAGTTCTCTATAGTTAGCATCGTCTGTTAACTAAAACAGCATATTTATTTCTGAGATCATGCCAGATGCTGCTTTTTCTTGTTCCCTTTTTGGTGCTTACCTGGCTGACCTTAGTTTAAGTAAAATCACTTCATGACAACAGGGAGGGAGAGGCACCCTTAAGGAAGAAAAAGAAGTGGGCCAACAGACACAGACGCTATTCAGCTGTTATTACTTTCTGAAAACTACCGGATACTATACTGCCAGACAACTATGAGGTGGGGCAGTGTGCGGCCTGGTGGGCATCTCTGGGGTGCCCACAGGCAACGTGGCCCATCAGACTGAGCATGACCACAGAGGTAGCTTCTATTAAGGTGGCCAGTCATGATTTGCAAAATTTTATCTCCACCAATTTTAGAAACTGCTTTAGAAAAATAGAGCTCTTTTCAAAAATGTGTATTTTATGTTATTAACTTATACTATAAAATAAAAAATTTAAATGTATGCTTAAATTCTGTTCAATTTAAAATTCAGTATCAGTATATATTACCTAGTGCATCAAAATTCTTCAGAATCATCAATAATTTGACCTTTACGGTGGCGGCACACACCTTTAATCCTAGTACTTGGGAGGTAGGGGCATGTAGATCTCTGAGCTCGAGGCCAGCCAGATGTACAGAATGTGTTCCAGGACAGCTAGGACTACACAGAGAAACCCTGTCTTGAAAAACCAAACCAACCAACCAACCGCCAACCAAATTAATTAACTCTGTAGGCCAGCCTGGTCTACAGAGTTCCAGGATGGCCAGAACTATACAGAGAAACCCTGTCTCGAAAAACAAAAAACAAACAACAATAGACCTTTAGTGATCAGTCTCCCTAAACAGCAGTATGCCATGGACAGACCATGGCTAACAGCGCTGCCTGAAGGTCACATGCTGACTTATTTAACAAGAAACATGTGCTGGAATATGCTAGAGAATCCCATTTCTCAACAGTGAACTAGCTCCACAGGCCTTTTCATGCCTGCCCTAACCGATCACTTCATCCAGGTAGCCTCTTAGCTAAACCAAGTGTCCACTTTACCTCTGATCAAACACAGGGTTTAGTGTCTTCTTTGACACGTGGGTTTTCCTTCTTCCTGATCGTCTCTTGTCTGGCAATAAATACATGCGGACATATGGATCAGAGCCATCTTCCGAGAAGGCAATGAGGTTTCTTTTAATACAAACCAGAGAACACTAGACATTAGAATTAAAAAATAAATAAAACTTATACCGTATTCAAATATTTATCAAGTTTTGATTTCACATTATCTGAACCCTAAGGAGTAACACACTTCAAATTTCCCACAGTCTGTTTCTGAATCACCAGCTGCTGGCATCATTTTAAAGCTTCCCTTTTAGCAATTTTGCCAGAGTAACTTTTGCCTTTACAACCTAAGACCAGACTGTGAGTGGACATTCACAGCCCTTGCTCTATGCTTCTAACATACCTTCTCACAGACGTCTATGGCTTTACTCACAGGACACATAAGCAACGGCCCTGTGAGGCAAACCTGGTCCTTCTGTTAATAAGGCCTTGAGTGGCCACACTGGTTCCTTCGGTAGCACCTCCAGTCACAGCTTCTGCAAAGGGCCAACCTCCTCCCGGAACCCTCCCTGAACCTGTCCCCTGCTCTTTCCCTAGCATGACGGTATAAGCCAAGCACATCACCCATACCACAGGCAGGCGGCAGGTTGTCTTTAGAGCCATCGGAGCAGCCTTTGCCGTGCCTACCTGGCATCAGTCACTGTCTCAGCAAGGTCCCCCATCATCCCTCACTGAACTAAACCGTGTACTTTCAGGACCTTGTAGGTGTCAATGCCACCAGTTCCATTTACCCATGGTTTCAAAAGAATTTTTATAAGCTCAAAATATTTATATTTTAACTACTCCTGGCGCAGTGACGGGGATGCGGTGGCAGGCAGCCTCACCTGCAGGAGTGCACGACCACAATGAGCTTGTTCCGCTGCGAGCTGTGCCGGACAGTGAGCTGGATCTGCCCCAGAGGAGACTGTCCCAGGGTCGTCCCACTGTGGAAACAGCGCAATGTCACCACCTCTGCCCCAGGTTCAAAAAAGGCGTGCTGCTCTGTGTGTACATCAAGACAATGTTCACTCACTTACACAGAATGGGACCTAACTGTCCATGATCTGAATCATGACTTGAAACTTCTGAATAGGTACCAAAGTTGAAACTACTTCACTTGAGGGTCAGTGTTCCTTAACTGTTCACAACTGACAGCTTCCCCGTGAGCACTCAGGGTACAAATGAGACTCAGAGCTCTCCCCAGGACAGACATAATCCTGTGGTCAAAGCTCAGCCTGCAGCTAGGCAAATGCTCTAACAGTGCACTCCACCCAAGCCTCAAGCTGCTTCTGTTCCCACAGTGCTGCACATGAGGAGGCATGCAGAGCAAAGGTGAGCGCAGTCAGAGGAGCCTCAGACATGGGCAATGCTGCATCTCCAAGTGCTTTTATAGCCACTGCCTCTCCCTGTATTTCCTTGTAAACTGGACACACCTCTTCACAAAAGATGAATAGTTTTGAAGGTTGATTTTTACAATTACCACAGGAAGTGGTGATGTCTGAAGCATATGGTGACTATTTTTCCTCCTTATCTGAAGAAACCATTAACACCACCTATAAATCAGAATAAATATCCAAAGAAAGCCAGGGGAGATGTGGTAATGAGGGCTGTACTCTGCAATGGAGAGAGGGCAAGCCTCTGCCAAGCCTGTGCAGCTGACACAGTGTGCAGCACATCAGTGTCCACCCTGCAGGACTCTGTCCCTGGCATGAACTGAGTACACGGTGTCTACACAGCTCAAGTCACTACCCTTTCCCACCTGCAAGACCTCTTATTTCACTACTGTTCTTCTAACACATCCAAGCTCCTACAAAACAGCAAGTATCACTGTAAAGTCAAAGACTCAACGAGCAAAGTAACAGCAGAACTCAAATGTCTTCCCACTAAGTTAAGAAACCTATCTCCCTCCTGTGGTGTGCGGGATGAACGCTCTGATAAACAATGATGTGATCACTAGTTACTTTTCAAGTTGCCGTAGCCTTTGCCTCAGCTCCTGGGTAGCAATGGGCAGTGATATGTCTGAGGCAATGCTTGGAGTGGGTTCCTTGGCTGAGATGTGGCTTGGAGAAGCCAAGAGGCTGGAGGAGCTCCTGCCCAGGTCACACTGCCCAAGAGGGCTGGCCTCGGGGGGCTGGGGCCTCTCCTCCATGACACGCTGATCGACTCCCTTGACTGGTGTTGATGGAGCAGTGTTGCTACCGGCGGTGCCTGGTGATGCAGACATCTGAGATTTGACAGGTATTTTCCTCCCTTCTTTGGAGACGGAGGGCCGCTTTACTTGAGCTGAGTGCTGGTAGTCCGGAGGCCTTTCTTGCTTTTCCAGATGGAGCACCTGGAGGGGAAGGGACGACATCTTCATGCACGAGAAGCCTTAGGGTCCATCTGTGCCCAACTTCAACTATGCAGTTACCACACAGTGCACCGTGGAACACGTATGTCAGGGCTGTGCTCAGCAGGACACTCTGCAGTTACTAACCAAAGCTACACCAAACATCTTCATTTCATAGACTCCCCTCAGTCTTCATTGTAAGCAAAAGAGCTCTACAACTGGCAGACAGGCCATTATTTTACCTATGTCTTGATCATGTGAAAGAAGAACATTTCCATAGCACCCTGAGCAGACTAAGTATTTATTTTAATTAAAAAAAAAAGTTCATTCTTAAAGCTAGAATATAGTTCAGTGGTAGAACACCAGTCTAGCATGTGTGAGGCTAGTGCAGAAACAAAAGGCTGGCTCTTTATTATATACTTTATATATAATTATATACTACACACACACACACACACACACACACACACACACACACACACACACACTTTATATATAATTCCGTTTGGTATTATAGGTTTTTTTGTTTGTTTGTTTTGTTTTTCAAGACAGGGTTTCTCTGTGTAGCCTTGACTGTCCTATACTTGATTTGTAGCCCAGGCTGGCCTCAAACTCACAGAGATCTGCCTGCCTCTGTCTCTCCGACTGCTGGGATTACAGGCATGGCACTACCAAGCCTGGCTGAATACTTTTAATTAATGATACACAGACTTTTTTTTCTGGACCCTCCTGGCCAGTCAATCAGTCTGGAAGGCTTGTTCAGAATGGAGTCTAGACTGGACTCCCATAATTTGTTACAGCTTCTGCTCCCCTCCAACTGTCAGCATGCTACCACGTCACCTGACCCAGGCCTGTGTACGGCATACTAGTTGGGGCTGAGGTATAGCTGTGTTCTTCCCTCCCTCTATGGTATCCTGCTAAGAACTATGCAGTACCCGTAGGGCAATCTTCATTTTTAAGGTGCTGTTTGGACCCGAGTTGCTGAGCTGGAACCGCTGGTTTATAGTCATGTTGTCACTCATGAGCAGCTGACTGAGTGGGATCCTCAGGTTCCCCAGAGAACACTGATGCTGCTCATCTTTGACCTGAAAAATGCAGAGCAGAAAACTCTGAGCACCAATGGAAACAAAAAGGAACTAGAAAAAATGTAGCATGGTCCACAGATTGGCTTCAAAAATATATCAGCATAAAACACAACACAACACATTTCATATATTATTTAAGTAGTAAGTCTAAAACTTTTACAGGACCTCTCAGGGAAATAAAGCAGTATTTCTGTCAGAGGTTCCTGTCCTTTCCTTGTCACAAAATCATGATGAGCACAACAAAGGACATCTTGTTTTATAAATCTACTGTGAGAAATTTCAGTTAAGAACAGTCTAGGAGCTCAGCAGTTAAGAGCATTTGTTCTTGCAGAGGACCCACATTTATTCCTAGAAGACACGGTGGCTCCATAACTCCAATTTCTGGGAACCCAAGGACCTCTTCTGACCCATAGGTCCCAGATATTCACTAACTACATAGACATTCATGCAAGCAAAAACACTCATACCCAGAAAATAAATCTTAAAAAAAAAAAAAAGTAACAGTCTACAAAAAAACTAAAGGTCAGAAGAAAATATCTTTTACACTTTGAAATCATATGGTATATACTGATAGTAATGTACAAATTTTCTACTGAAAACACTTATTCATGGAGAAAAGGCATTTTTTAAGTGCCTTAAGGCCTTCTCTGTTTAAAGTCTATACAGTTGCTTTGAAATTTTACAGTATTTCCTTTAAATACATGATATTTGTTTTTCACAAATAATAAGTTTTCAGCACTGCCTCTGTTATAAGAACTACTTCCATCGGTTGTTCAAAATAGTTTGATTAAAGAAAGAACACTGGACAAAATGAACATACTTTTTGAGAGGCATCAATACCGCAGTTCATAAACAAGAAATAGCCGACCCACAGAGAGCAAGAGCTGTTGATAGAAGTGAGTTTATAACTATGTAAACACCTCCTCAAAATGAAAAAAAAAAGCAAGTGATAATGCAAAAATGCATTATAATAATGCATATAAGTGATAATGCAAAAAAGCAAAATGCAAAACAGTTCTGTACAGACTCTTCCAGAAAATACAAGAGGAACAAATGCTCCCTAACTCACTCAGGAGGCTATCATCACCTTGACATCAAAACAGAAAAAGGTATTGAAAAAGAAGCAAGAGTACAAATGAGCAACTTTCATGAGTAACTAAGAAGGAAGAATGTTTTTCTTTTTTCCTATTTACTTACTTTGTATGTGTGTGTACTCGAGTATGTGTATTATATGTGCAGAAAAGCTCAAAGGACAGAAGAGGGAATTGGATCCTCTGGAACTCAAATTACAGGCAGTTGGGAGCTGCCATGCGAGTGGCAGGAACAGAATCCAGGTCTTCTATAAGGCCAAATCTCCAGACCCAAGAAGCAAGGATCTTAACATGCTGAATACATATAAGGAAGATCATGCCTGAGTGGGACTTATCCCCTGTGGTAGTCTGAATAAAAATGGCCCCCACAGGACCACAGGTAGTGGTCCTGTTAGGAGGACGTGTGACTCTCTCTTCCTGCCGCCTGCTGACCTGGATGTAGAACTCTCAGCCCCTCTTCAGCACCACGTCCTCCTGTGTGCCACCACGCTTTTCACCATAATGATAACAGACTAAACCTCTGAGCTCTCAGTCATGTCCAATTAAACGTTTTCTGTTATAAATAAGAGTTTGCTGTGGCCATGGTGTCTCTTCACAGCAATAAAACCCTAACTAAGATATCCCCAAATAAAATACTGTGTTCAAGGTATTCTAGTATTAACTGTGAAAAACAAAATAGAAGTTTGCAGTACTTAACATGTGAAAATCGACAATGTACAGTTGAAAAATGATACTGTCATCTCAACACACGTAGAAAAATGCCTGTAGGGAAAGTCTGCTTCTTGTGACGACAAAGCAAAGTTTGCTTTCAAAGAGAAGGAAGAAAGTATCTCTTGGGAGACCAGATCCATGAACTATTTCTGTATAGTAAAGAAGGGTGAACAGGGAGGCTAGCCAAGAAAAACTGAAAAACAAAAGCATCCGATTGGTATGACATTATTACTAAAGATAACATAACTTCCCCCACATAAAATCCTAAAATAGTTACAGAATATCCAGCGGAACAAGAAAGCAGCCCTGGCATGGTGGCACACACCTATAGTCTCAGCACTAAACTGGCCAAGCAGTAGAATTGTAAATTCAAGACAATGTGATAAAATTGACTGCCCCCTTCCATAAGCAAAGAACAACAAAAAAGAGTAAGCTATTTTTAGTGGGGTTCTATGAGATTATGTCACTATAAAGACTCACTCCGTATTCTCATTCCCCCACACCCCATTTTTGAGGTGCTCAACTGGACCAGAACTTGCTGAGTAGACTAGGCTAGCAGCCTAGGACCCAAGGACCTAGCCCTCTCCATAACTTTAGGGCTGGAACTGTAAGTTGGTGCCGCCAAGCCTGGCTTTCCACACAGGTTCTGGGGGTCAGAGTCAGCTCTCAAGCTTGCACAGCAGGCACTGCATTGCTGGCTCCATTTCCTTAGTCTCCTGCTGGTTTCTGGGCTGTTTGTTTTGTTTTGAGGTGGGGTCTTGTTACTCGGCAACCCAAGCTATTCTTGAATGTATGATCCTCCTGCCCTGCCTTCCTAAATGCTGGGATCACAGGAATCCACTACAATTGCTGGATATGTTTATGTATATTAGTAAAAAAAAAGGCCCAAAATACAAGATTAGGAACCATTTAGTGACTGGGAAACACTGGTATAGCTCTTGCCTGGAATGAACGAGCTCCTATCTTCAATTCACGTAGGGAAATAAAGTAAGATCATTCACAATATAATGAAAAAGTATGAAATGATTAAGAATAAGTCTGACATAGGTGCCAGATCTACACTGAACATGGAACGCTATAAAGCAGTGCTGAGAGAAATAAAAGACTACTACATCAAATAAAATAATGTAATGTCTCTATGCATTGGAATGTTTCCTGTTGTGGACATGTCAATTCTACCCACTGGTTCTACAACTCCAGGATGGAGTCCTTATCAAAAGTATAGGTTCTCTGCATAAATCTACAACTGATACTAGAATTCATATGGAACGTATACTTAGTCAAAACACCCATGGGAAGTAAGTCTGAAGGCTTACACCAGCTAGTTTTATGATATTCAACCACAGTAGCAAAGACAGCAGTGTTGGTATACTAGTAGCACAGAACCTAGGGTACAGTCACTCCCGCATGGGGCACACCGGTCCTGACATTCCACAAAGTCACTAACTTCAAAGCAGAGTAAAGAATAATTCTCAACAATGTGCTGACAATTATGAAAAAAGAATCACGACCCTTTCCTGATAGTAACTGAAGATTAACTTGATACAGACCTAAACATCAGATGGCTGCACTGGCCAGTCTGTATCACCTTGATATACAGACTAGAGTCATCTGAAAGGAGGGGACCTTACCTGAGAAAATGTCCCCCATAGGAACTAACTGTAAGGAAATTACTTAGTGATGATCAGGGCGGGCTCAGCCCACTGTGGTGGGCCCATCCCTGGATGGTGGTCCTGGGTTCTAAGAAAGCAGGCTGAGCAAGCCATGGGGAGCAAGCCAGTAAGCAGCACCTTCCATGGCTTCTGCATCAGCTCCTGCCTCCAGGATCCTGCCCTGTCCTGACTTCCTTCAATAATGAACAGGAACATGGAAGTGTAAGACAAAAAAACCCTTTCCTCCCCAACTTGTTTTTTGGTCCTGGTGTTTAGCTGTAGCAATAAAAACCCCACTAAGACAGTGGGTTTGGAAACACTGTGAGTCACGGGGAATCCAGAGGATTTCCCTATGCTGACTGTAGGCAAGGGTTGCAGGGTACTGTGTACTCAATTAAAAACTGTGAATGTGTGTAATTTATATCAACCACATTTCAAAATATAGCCACAAAATGCAATAAAATACCTCAACTTCAAGGTCCTGGCGCTTGGGGTTATGAATGAAGAAAGTGAAGTTTTCCTCCCACACAGGTTCACTAGTTTTGTACCGGATCTGTAACAGAAAGTCCAATATTAATTCTCCAGTACTGCCTACAGAGGAGCACCACTGATTCAAGGCTTACTCACATAATATGCACAAGCACAGAGTGGTTAAACCTAAAGACATATACATCTACTGAGTGACCTATGATTATCTTAGGAAGCACAGAAATACTCAAAAGGTGAAGCTTAAGCTTTGTGAGGTGCATTAGGAAAGCAGTTGGCACAAAATCCATGCCTGCTTGCCAAGAGACCAAAGACCTCCTCTCCTCTACTGTCTTCAGTCCTCATTTAACAGTGGCTTACAACTGTGAGCAATTTCTAAATTCCCACCCCCATCAGAAAAGAGGAACACACAACAATACCTCCTTTGAAGTACAATGTGTTAACTTTAAAACTGAATAATTATTAAGTACTTAAAAGCTTTGGAAGTCATTCCATATCTCTCCCCAGGAAATCAAACAAAAGCATATCTTTATGGTGTTGTCTGTGTTATTTAAAAATGTTAAATATATCTGTACTTGTGAAATGACTGTTTTATATGGAAGCATGTGTACATATCACACACCTGGATACCACCTGCTGGCGATGGTGACAAACGGTGCTACATGGAGAAAATCTCAGAGAGCCATCGAACTCTTACCTTACTCTCTTGAGCCTTGTGACCGACTGACATCTGGACAAGAGGATTTGGGTTGCTGTTTATTTTCTTCCCTGACTATCCAAAAACAAAACCAGATAAAATAAGTAAACACACTTTGAAATGGGTTCCACTAAAAATGAAGCTATGGTTGCTATCAGGAGTCATTTCTATTTACCTCTGATACGTGAGACACAGGAAACATAAAAACAGTAGAAAACAACTGTAAGCCAATTCTGGGCCATCATCATTCATCACGACATAAACTGAGAAGACTTCTAGTCACATACTTTTTTTTTTTTTGAGTGACAGGGTCTGACAACACTACTTGGCTAGTGTGGAACTCCGTGGCACCAGTGATTCTCCCACATAAGCCTCCAAAGTGGTGGTGACTACAGGGACAAGCTCGTGTCAGGCTACATACACGTTTGAAATGTCAAATGTTTTACTTTAAGCTACTTTGAGAAGGGCAATCTTTTCAAAGTTTAAAACTTTAATATTAACTACAGTTCTCAAAACTGACTTATAAGGATATCAAAAAAGTAACTGCAATGAATAGAAATAAATACAAAAGAATACAAATCAAAAGAATGTCACCATTCAGAATGTCAACCCAGCTGCAGTAAAAACGATCACAATTTCAGGTGTACAGCTTTACCCTGAACGTACCCCACCCTGTTTAAGTAAACAGTTATCAGACAGTGGGTATTGCTTACCGGCTGCTAAGTAATTATCACCAGAAGAATAAATGTCAGTTTAGAATTGCATGGAATTAAGCAAATATAAATATGATTTAAAAATTCATAAACAAGAAAAACATGACAAGAAGCATACTTTGGCAGACAGCTGATAGAAGAAAACATAGTAACACACAACAGATACGTGACATGAGGTTTATTTGTAACTTAGCCCCACAAAGATGCAGTTAAATGTGTTAATGTAAATTAGAATGTTACAAAAAAGTATTTTAGTTAAATAATTTTAGAGTCAGTCCTCAACACTGCAGCAATGAAAGAGATAGGTGTCCAAATCATTTGATTATTCGAAAAAAATATGACTAACCCAAACCTACTGTGATAATCTATTTTCTGGTTCATCTTTTTGATGTGAATGAATTCTGTAAAATGAAATAAATACCATTAAAAATAACAAAGCCAATTAATATTTTGTAAACTCATTTATTTCTTTTTTCTGTAATATTAGGATTCCAAATCTGAGGTGAGCATACGTCCTCTGGGAATAAGGATGCAGCCTCCACTTCTCTCTCCTGGCTAGCTAGGAGACTCTGACCTTAAGGGAGGGCATGCACAACTATTCTTAGATATGAGGTTCAAGCTACTAAGGAGAACTTGAACAGCTGCAGGGCATAAAATCACACTGATTTCAGACACATCTCCCTGGTATCTTTTTTGTTTGTTTTTTATTTTATTTTATTTTATTTTATTTTATTTTATTTTATTTATTTTTTGAGACAGGATTTCTCTGAGTAGCCCTGGCTGTCCTGAAATTTACTTTATAGACCAGGCTAGCCTTGAACTCAGAGATCTGCCTGCCTCTGCTTCCCAAGCGCTGAGATTAAAGGGGTATGCCACCACGCCTGGCCTCTACCTTGGGTCTTGGATACATGAGTTTATTTCTAACTGATATTAAGGCTATTCCTGTGAAAATGGGACCATTCAGTTTTAAGGATTTAATTATATGGTGCCATTCCTTCCAATATTAAAAAAAAAATAGAATGAAGTTTATAATTGACAACACTAAAAACCTGCTTCTTAACAATTTGCAGGTGTCACTGCCTTAATTGATTTATTGCACATATATGTATGTATGTGAATGGCACACTGTTGAATTTAATGAAATATAGAAATGATCCCTGAATATATAATCTTACGCTGTTGAATTTAAATTTCATTTCCTTAATTCTTGACTACTGAGACCTAGGTTTCATCAGTCTGAGCCTCAGGTTCCAAGTCTACAAAAGAGGCACAATACCATTTTTAGAACTTGTTAGGATTAAGTGATCTGATGTTTACCAAATAGGTATAGCACATCTATTTATATAGCTATTAAGTATTTATGTATAATATTTTAATTTACTTACTAATCCAATAGAGAAGGTACTCTTTCCACCCCATAAGTAGGACAGATTAAATATCATCTTTGCATCACAATGCTGCTACATGACTCCAGAGCCTTCCATCCTGACCTCTGTGCTCTGCTGGCCAACAAGACAGCAAACGAATGGTGGGCAGAGTGTGGCAAAGGTCCTTTTCCTACATCGCGTTAGGTCCCAACTATGCTGGGAGGCATAGTTGTGTCAACCACGTGTGCCAGCACTCTCTGGTATGATGCTCTCTATACCTACACTGTTATCTCCTTACTACATGGCAGAGTGAGGCCTGCACACATCGTCTTAGACAAGTAATGACAACCTCCTTCATTTTAGAAAGTTAACTTACTTTGCTAGATGAAATGGATTAAAGTATTCCCATTAGTTAGAATATCTAGAATATTCTTAAGGCAATTCTATTTAAAATGCCCTGCCTCTCACTTAATTAAGATTAATTAAGAAATATCAACAATTTAGCCAGAGAACACAAGCTATCATCTTGGATAAGAAGTGGAGCTTAGTTTTCAATATACCTCATTTGATAAAATTTGAACCTTCTGGAAAGATCTATCACCCAAGCACCAAAGCCACAAGGTTGATTCAGTGAGGCCCTCCTCAACATATTGGAAGAGGCAATTCCTTAAGTATGCACTCAACAGTTTGCAAGATGCATTTTGAAATCACAAGATAAAAATCTGGTCAAGATTTTAAATAGAACTTTTAAGTTGCTAATCACAAATTCAAATTCAAAGAAAACACAGTATTTCACTGGCTTTGAGAGACAGAATAAAATCTAAATTTTCATATTGGAATTTTTAAATTTAACTGTGGTTGATATAATGTCTTCTAAATACAGATTCTGGGAAAACGAAAGTAGGATTTCTTCTGCTGTCCGATCATCACCTAGGACGGGAGGGAACTGCCCACACACTTAGGAAAGCCGAAGTAGCATCTTTCAATATGTCGTGATTAGCAGCCATAAGGGACCCTCCGTTTACCTTTAAAGCTCTCTGAACTGTAGACTTCTTCAAGACACCGGGGTTAAAGTCTAATGGGTTACTCTTTCAGGTCAGAAGAAAATGAATACACCAAGGGTTAATACAACATGCAATGAGGAGTTTATGTATGGTTAATGACACAGAAATTCATGAGAATAAACAAATACTTAAACCAGACCAAAATCATATAAACTGACAGATTTGCCTTTGTGCTCAAGAACCATGGTGACTGCCAATCTAAAACATCACGACACACTTCCTCATTCTTGGTAAGCCTTCACTTCCTCACCTCTGACTTTCCCTGTCAGTAGGAATCAAGAGTGTGACTTGAGGAAAGGCTCTGCTTACTCTCCTTTCCCTGAGACCCTAATGTCACCAACAATTAGAGGTTTAATATGAAGCACAGCAGAGGCCATGCTCTCCACACTGCTGGAACGGGTCCTGCTTATGGCAGCTGTCACCACTGCCTATGCCGCCGAGACCTGCTTTCTCGGTACAGCATCATCCAGTGATGGAGCCCATCTCTCTGGTGAACGCTTTGTCCTTCTCAGGTATGGAAGCACAGGCCAACAAGATCTTCTCAAGAGTTTCTCATGGACTCAAATACATTGTACTATTCTAGGGTATATCTCTCTCTCTCTCACTGAATATTTTAAGTTTGCTCTTTCTAAAATAAAAAAAAAAATTGCTTTGGAAGCTTACAGGATTAACATTTGAGGTTAAATGTTTTTGGTTTTTGTTGTTGTAATAATTTAAAATGATGTGTTGGATTTGATTCTTTTTTTGTGTGTTTGTTTTTTTCAAGACAGGGTTTCATTGTGTAGCCTTGGCTGCCCAGATTCACTCTGTAGAACTGGCCTTGAACTCATAGAGATCAGCTCGCGTCTGCCTCCCTGAGTGCTCGAATTGCAAGCATGTGACACCAACCCTAGCTAGATTTAATTCTTACTTTTTTACTTTTTGTCTTAGTGTTTTATAAGTCAGAAGATGTACGAAAGAAAGAAGATAGTAGCTTCCCAGGGTCCTATGGTTGGTGGCAGGTGAGAAGGTAAGCGCCAGGCTGGGCTCCTGCCATACTATGTGGGTCTAAATCTAGACTATTCTAACAGGAAGAGCTACAGGGCTCCCTGAAGACTCAGAACCTACTGTCTCTATTTCTGGATGAAGTCTAGACCAGATATTCCCTAAAAGTTCCAATAGTGCATTTTTCTCCCCAGAGACAGCCTGACTGCTCCTGATATTACAAGGGCCTTTCCTGAAGTACACACTAGATAGAAACAGCTGAACAAAATGTATTTGTTATCTCAGCATGCATCAGTTATCAAGAAACAAAGAGAACAGTGGTACTGTGAATCATGAAAGCAAAGACAGCGGTGAGGTCACAGAAAACTGCATAGCATGAGGGTGGGAAGACTAGGTACTGAAATAGCTGGGGCAGATGTGTAGGTACAAGGTTCAGAAGTCAGGCACTGTGTACCATGGGGGTTGTCATGGTGTACTCCTGGGCCTCTTGATCACTGGAGACAGCAGCCTCCCCCCCCCCCCCATCAAGAACCATGCCCTAAGAATACAGGTCACTTGAGAATGGTTGTCTAGCATGTGGGGAGCCTTGCATTCAGACCCCAGCACCTCATAAACTTGGAACTGTGGTCTATCCTATGATCCCTGCACTTGCAAGTAGAAGAAGGATGAGCGTAAGTTCAGTGGTTTTTCTCAGCTACAGAAAGTGTTTCAGGACAGCCTGGGATATAAGAGACCCTGCCTCAAACAAACAAAATCTATCTTTGCCTCTAAGAGTCTACTCAGTGGTAGCTGTTATACTGTCATGTTTTTATATGTAAGGTAGGCACCATGTGAACACCACCCATCTCAGACCATCTTCAGTTACAGAATTAAGACAGCATGAGCAGTGAATATTCTACAGTGATGAGATCTCAGAGCTCTACTCTTAGTCACTATGCCCTTTGCACTGTCTTTTATTTTCTAACCTGTGAACTATCTACGACTGCTAGGGATAATGAGGGGCCTGTCCCAGGTAGGTTCCTGACAGCCCCTGTGGCTACTGCAAAGTGCTCAACACACACAAGTTACAAAGTAAGCCTAATACTCTAATGTCGGCTGCTACAGTTAGAGAACACATTCAAGCTGAAACTGAAGAAGGGAAAAATTGAGCCTGCTTTAAAAAGAAGTTATTTCCAATAGAGAGGAAAAAATGGAGTTGAAACTGGGGGAAATAGGTGGGAATAGCTGAACAGGTGGAAAGTAAAAAAGCTAGGGACTAGAACCATTTATAAAAATGCTTTTCATGTAGGCAAAGACTGAGAAAGCTGATCTGACATTACACTGGAAGCCAGTGAGTAAACAGTAAATGTCTGTACACTACCCCACAGAATATTTTATGTGGTGTGCAGACCTTCATCATAAAGCTCAGCATCACTTTGACAATGAAGAGAATGAAATCTGAGAGCTGACCATTGATGTCAGAACTACAAAGCAACTAAAAAAATACAACTCAAAAATAGTTTCTTTGTGCCAACCAAAAAACAAACAAACAAACAAACAAAAAACAAGAAAAAGAAAAAGGAAAGAAAAAAAAAGCAGTTGTAGATTAGGAAGGGACAGACTGACACAATTACACAGAAGATTGGCCTTATTGTTTATATGACTTTTTGATGACATTTTCCTTAAGGAACAGAAGCATAAAGCATTTTCTAAATAGTGATGGCATCTACTAGCATTATCATTCTAAGGGCCTTCCTTCTGACTTTTTTGGTTTTGAGACAGTGTCACAATAACGAAAGAGGAAAGGTTCCTACCCAAACTGCCAGTTATCAGAGGACAACCCTCTATGCCAGCTACCTTTTGACTTTTAAAAAGGCCTGAAGCAGTTATGAGTACAGAGGCAGAGACATCAATATGCTGCTTATTACTAGTGTGACCTGTCCTTCAGGGTACTGTTTTTCCTTGTCTATAAAATAGTGCTAAATACGTGTTTTTAAAGTACGATACCCCACAGTCCTTCCTTGAGAGGGCTTAAGAAATCTAACTAGTTACAGCACAAATCTGAAGTGTGATCCTACACACTAATTAGCAGACTAGTAGGTCTTGATGTAGTTTTCTATGACCCCAGAGGAAATGAACCCAGCAGCTCCCAGAGTACCCTGAACAGCACCAGGCAATGGGATCAGAGAGAATGCAATCAGAACAAGATGTTCAATTATTTACTTCAGAGAACTCTAAAGGAGTTCCTAGAAAGAAATAAATCATGGACCGGCTGCAGCTTTCTTCTTCCCCAGAGGCTCTGGCTGGGCCATGTGGCAGAAGCAGGCTCTCACAGAGATGGGCAGACTCCTGGCTTCAAGTGACCAGGACTGGTGACAGAGAGGACAGGGTGGTGTGGACTGGAAGGCGGCCCCAGTTCTAATGCTGCTATCCTTCATGAGGAGGAAAAGTAGATTTAGGTAGTTCGATGGAATTTAAGTTTTAGCTTTATGGCTCTGTCCTTCCCTCAGAGGACTAATTATGACTCCATGGACCAGCAGCAGTAGAGTTAGTTAGGTTAGTTCATCTCACGTCAGATGTACTCCCAACATCACAGCAGAGTCACATTTGACAAAACAGCAGAAAATAGGCTTTGGTAACTGAAGTCATGCAAGAAAATGAAAGTAGCATGCACATCATTCCCATGAGCAGACTGCACAGAAGCTCCAGGCCACACTCGGGCAGTCTTCACTGAACACAGAAGAAGGTGCTTGGAGGACTCACAAATAGTGCTCTATAGACTGAGGTAGTATTCTCACAAAACACTAGTCCCGACGCTCGCCTCTCTTTTAAGTAGCCACACCCAAAGTTTCCCTCGTAGATACTCTTAGGAAAGTGGAGACAGGAAGAGAAAGCAAAGAATGGTGGATTGTGGTCAGTGGGCACACGCCAGAAGCACAAACAAACAGGGTGCAGAGAGAGTCAAAGGATCCCAGGACACATAGGGACTGGCCAACAAAGCCTCCCCACTAAAACCGACAAACAGCAGGTATGGCTCTGTGGACCCTTTGCCTCAGGTGAGCCACGCCACACCGTGAGCCAAGTCCCCTTGGAATAGAAGAGCAGTGCATCCCCTGCCTCTAGAGCTTATGTGATAGTATTTGAATTCCAAATTACTGAGAAAAAACACACAGCTTTACAGAAAAGCCATCACTACTTTCTATATCTTAAACTATGCAGCAAATTAATTTCTTTAAAAAAATTTTTGACATTTATTTATTTGGAGTGGGGGAGGGAGAAGGGTTGTCACAGCATCTATATGTGGGTCAGAGGATAACCTGAAGAATCAATGCTATTCGTCCATCATGTGTGTTCTGGTAATCGAATACAAGTGGCCAGGTCTGGCAGCAAGTGCCTTTGACACACAGCCATCCTACCGGCCTGACAAATAAACTCTATCAGGCATTATAAAACACTGAAACATTTTATAACAAACAAAAGCATAAAGCTTACTGTGTGAGTAATTCTATAAAAGGCTAAATAGTAATGAAGCCGATATTCCCAAATTGGAATAAAATCAGGTACAGTCACATACTTCAAGTGACAAGACCGGCTGAAGAATTAAACTAAGAAAAAAAAGGTAAGAATTTAAATAGCTAAAACTTCGATGAGAAAACTCCATTGACAGAAAGGGTTACGGTATTGGCAAAGAGAGAACTATATTCCTATACAAAACACTCGATCATATTTCAGTTTTTATGCTGAAATAAAATGTATTAATGCAAAGAATATTTCATTTTTTTTGTTTGTAAAGCTCAAATAAATACATAATTTTCAAAAGCCGTAAGATACTAAATGATGCAATTTCATGAAAGTCTAAGAAAGACTGTCAGAAAAAGTAAGTAAAGTGCTTCTTTGCTCTTGTTTGGAGTCTGTTCACAAATGCAATTATGTGACTGACACTACAATGGAAGAATTAATTATTCAATGGACAATTTTGGTGGGCATAGCCCTTGTAACTGATGACAACGTTCTTTCTTTCAACACAACTGGCTGTTGACACAGTGACACACCCGGAAAGTTACCCAACAATGGAACATTAATAATGAGGACACATTACTTTAGCTGGTGGCTTTACGGCAGGACAGTGAAAGATCCACTATCCCTAACATGATCGGATTACTTTGTAGTTTCTCCTAAAACCAAGACAATCTGATGTAAACAAATAAACAAGCTTGTAAGCTAACCACCACCATTTGGCACTGCTGTGTCTCTGTCCAGCTGGAAGCACCCAGGTACCTGAAGTCAGCACACCTACCTGGTAGAACAATCATGCTCATCTTAAACCTGGGATGGTCACAGCTCTGCAGCTCACTAACCGCTGTGCTAGAGCTAAGACACCGTTAGGGTCTGTGATTACAGCTCCTCCTAACTGAAGGAGAGCATTTGTTTGTCATTTTAAGAGACAATTTTCATCTTGACACAACTAGGCTGTAATAATTAGATATAAATACACACGGGCAAACGCTACCCTATGCCCCTCTGTTGCTACTACACAAGATTAGCTAATATGCTGTGGCTGAACAAAGTAGCATTTTCCACATAGGGACGCACGCACAGGAGCTAGCTCTGTATTACCTACCGGAAGGTTCCTTGCAGAATCCAAGTACAAGATCAGCAGCGCAGAGGAGAGACCGTCATTGGCTTGGTCCTTGTCAGCCCTGACGTCTGCCAGCACCTACATGGTGAGAATGAAGTCTCCATGAGTGTGTGTCTACACGAGTGCACACTACTTCTATTTAACTGTGCTGGAGAAGATAAAAGTAAAAGACAATATAATACACATCGCAGAATGAGAATTAAGCCTGTCTTCCAAATAACAAGGCAACAAAATTCCACACATACCAAGTGAAATGAAGAACTACGTTGACATGTAGTTCTCACAATCCCCGCGCTACCACAGCAAGAAATTTAAAGGACTCAGAACAGGAACAATGGCCTACAAGTTGTATTCTCTATACTTTGATGCTTGTTTGCCACTGTGGTGACTTATGGCAGAATAATCAAAATTATTGGTATGATTTTTTTTTTTTAAACAGTAACAGCACAATCAAAGAGACTGGTCCTTTAGTCGGGAGCAGGTGTCACGGTAGAAGACACTGCACAGCACCTTGTCGAGGTTGGCCGCATCTGGCAACAGGGTGAGCCACTCCAGCTTCAAATGCAGCTTTCCTTTGGGAACTTCATCCAGAGTGAACCACTGAAGAGAAAGTGTCTAAGTTCAGCAAAAGTGTTCCTGAAGAATACATTCTAATCACACCTCCTCTAAAAACGCTGCAAGTTGCTCACTGCCATGTGGCACCAACAGCTCTTAATTGGTACTAAAGGAGTGCACTTGTCATTTACGCCTCATGCTCCAAGGGCCACGGCCGGCAGACAGCAGGCTCGAAGCCCCACCTGCTCTGGAAGCCCTAACGATGCAGTGAGTACACCATCACTCACAGGGCCAAGCGCTCCAGCACTGTCAGCACTAACGAGGCATGTAGACACACTCACACGGAGCTCGGAGACCAACACTAACCTCCAAATACTGAAGAGCAGGATCAAACAAGTTAAGATACTTGTTTTTATTCATTGCTACACAAAAGTTAATAAAACAGTGCATAGTTGTTTCAGATTTAAAGTCATAAGATAAAGACCACCAAACAATGTTAAAAAGGGAATGCCACAGGCAGGGTCTGCCTATTTTGTCCCTGCTGTGCTCAGTGACTGGAACCTAACAGATGTATAAGGAACACTGTGAAATGGATGGACACACCTCTAGGGAAAAAAAAAAGGTGCTGCTATGAGCAAAGCAAGGTCTCGACACTGATTTGCTTGATTGGGCAGCACTTGCCCAAGTGTCACCCATCTTTTGTCTTCAGAAGCTGCTGTACAGTTCTCCTTTATGTATTTTTTTATTTTATGGCATATGGACCGTTCTCCCTATCTGAAGTAGTATCTTTTTGCTGTAAGTTACTGGTATATTTACAGGTATCTTCTGCATTCTGACAGCACTGTGCGTCCCTGCTCTTCACTAAACTACAGTGAAAACTTCTCGCACATCACTGCCCTAAAGCCTCCAAGGCCTCACAGTCTGTCCACAGTAAGATGAGTTTTACATGTGTGCTCACCCACACTTTCTCAGAGTTTTACACATGCTAGGCAAGCACACTGAACTATAGCTTACACTGTAGCCTTACATTTCAAATGTATTGTGTGAAGCAAATACAGTTCCTAAAGCAATAGCTAGGATTCTCACACTGGGTAGGTGGGCAAAAGCAGTGGGCCACAGTGACTCTGGCACACAGGAGGTACTTACAGTGTACATTAAGTCAGAGAAAACTTACTTCATCTAAAAGACGCTCCTTCTCAACTTCAATAAGATCAATCATAAGACTATTAAGAATAAAAAAAAAATCATTTTAGAACACAGAAACACTTCTTGCACCTGAACAAGTTGACCACTCTCTATGAATTTTTATTTCTGCATGGGCTTACTCTAGGAATGAAAAAATATACTATACAATTTACCAGGAAATAGATTGTTTTCCTCAAGGCTTCCTACAACTTATGCCCAAGAAAATCAAAAGAGTGAGAAAGAACAGGGTTCAATTTTTGTGGTCAAATTATTGACCACACACTCTAGGCCAGAACTGACTGCTCCTGTGTGCATGTATGTGGAGACCTGGGCTTAACCTAACCTCAGGAGTCTTTCTCAATAACTCGTAACCTTATTCATTAAGACAGGGTCTCCCAATTGAACCCAGAGCCTGCTATGGCTAGTCTAGTTAGTTCCTTGCATGTATTCCAAGTGCTAGACTTAAATGTAGCTGCCATGCTCTTCTGACATTTCTGTGGGTTCTGGGTCTGAACTCTGATCCTCATGCTTACATTCAAGTACCTTATGCTCTGATCTCCCCAGGGCCAGCTGATTTTTTTATGCTTTGAGATAGAGTGTGTAGACCAGGCTAGTCTTGAATTCACAGAGACCTGACTGCCTCTGCTTCCCAAGTACTGGGATTAAAGACGTGCGGCACCATGCCTGGCTAGCTGATGGGTTTTCACATGTCATCACTGTGGATAAAGTTATTTGCATAATGGATTATAGTAAATACTGTATCAAGTCCTTTAGCCTACCCTAATTCAGGCATGGCACCACCTCATAGGAGCCGGGAATGATAATTAAGGGTTAGTCCAGTTGTATTTCTCCCTTACCATCTAGGTTTCAGTGTGAATCAGTCCTGTCTCAGCCCTAGCCAATGATAACATGCTCCTGCTGCTCTACTGAGCTCCCATTTACACACTCACATAGCTATTTGATCTGACCATGCTCTTGCTCCCACTAAGCTGTGCATGTAATCAGATTCTGAAGTCAGAGCACAACACATGGTCTCAGAGATTCTGCAGTCAGAGCAGAACACCTAGGCCATACTTGATGAGGCATAAAGCTCTGCAATGTAGCCTAATCTTCCACTATCCTCCACAATAAACTCATGTAGGTGTCCTTAACTAGACAGATGTGAATGGTCATGTTCACTCACGTGTGCAGACGCAAATGCAGGTGTGGAGGCTAAAGGACAACCTCCTTGATTTTTCTTACGGTTCAGTCCTTGATTTTCTAATGTGCCCAGGACCACTTGTCTCAGTTTCCTAGTGCTGGGGTGACAAGCATGTGTCACCACACTCAGCTTTTCCTTAATTTTTATTTCTGCTTCTTGTGCTTTCAGTGTTGCCACTCTAATCACTGAGCCAGAGGTTCTCACCCTTCCTAACGCTTCAACCCTTTAACACAGCTCCTCATCTGTACTGACCCCAACCATAAAATTATTTTGTTGCTACTTCATAACTGTAATTTGCTACTGGTATGAATCATAACATAATTATTTTTGAAGACAGAGGTTTACCAAGAGATCTACGACCCACAGGTTGAGAGCCATTCCGCTAAACTATCTTCTCAGCCCCAGAAAGGTATTTTTTAATATTTATTTTTACTATCTTAATGTGTGTGTGTAGGTGCCCACAAAGGCTAGACGAGGCTACCAAAGCCCTTGGAGCTGGAGTTCCAGGCATCTGTGAGCTATCTGACATGGGTGCTACGAATTGACCTTGGGAAGAGCAGTAAGCATTCTTAGCCATTGTGCCATCTCTCAGCCTCAGAAAGGTATTTTTAAAATTGCATTTCCCCAGTTATATCAGTTCTTCAACTGGAGTAAACAAATAGTATTTGCAGTCCCAATGTGTGGGTACAATGTAAGTAACTGCACCCTAGGAACTGAGATGCCTGAAGTTTAACCCAGACTTACAACCTAGAAGGAGGTAGTTACCGACTTCCCTGCATATGGGGGGTGGGGTCTGTAGTAGTGGGCTCTCCCGCTGCTTGCACAGTCAGACTCACTGACGGAAGCAATGCTAGTACCAGTGACTACTGTGATGGATAACAGAGTCGTTTTAGAAGTAAAAATGCTTTAAAAATATGTGGTAAAATAACTGCATATGTAATAGCCACTTAAAGTGCATGTCTGTAAACAAATGGCCTTGAAAGCCTGCATCACTGGGAGTGGCTAGAAGGGTGTTCCCAAGATCTTTCCTCACCTTCCTAAGAAGTCATCCTTGTCTGGGTCTTCATCAAAGAGTTCAATCTCCAGTTCTTGTCCAGGGTGTTCATAGACTAAAGCCTGAGAATTAACAGTTAGTAGTTACTGTAGTTTCACTGCCATAGACAATGACTAAGTATGATGATTATAACAAGCATCACCATGTGCTTTTCTTGCAGTAAGCAGTTTTAAAAGTATACTTTCTCACTGTCAGACCACACATACTTCTTGATGACTGGGCCATTCAAAAATATTTGTCCACAGAGCAAGTTTCCTCGGCCTGTTTCTGGTTCTCTGAATTCCTTATCAGTGGTTCAAATACAAGGAACCAAATTGGCAGTGTGAGGTCTCTCAGACGTAGGCCTGTCTAAGGTCTAGGTGAAGTGAAGATGCAGGAAATAGCCCTAAACTCTGAACTAGCTCTGTTCAGAAGCTAACCTTGAAAAGCCACTAACCACTTAGCCTCTCGGAGAACAAGGAACTGACAAGTGACAGAGGACAGAGGGTGACAAGAGGCATACAGCACTATTCTCAAGAATAGCTCTGTCCTTTGGAAACCTCCACCTTAGGCTCAGCGATTCAGAACTACATAGGACATTTCACTGGAAGAGCACTGCCTGCCGCACTGCACCTAGTAGCCCAGGCCTCCAGTGAAGAAGTCAGTGGAAGACACATAAAGAAACACCATCTCAAGGAAAGAAAATAAAAATGTTAAAAAAACAATGAAAAAGGAAACAAAATATAAAAAATAAAACTAATAACCATGTAGTTATCTATCCATTGAAATATAAAGATGTCCAGGTATATTAAATGAAAAAAATGTATACAATATTATATTTTCACATTCATGTGTTTTAACTCCCTACAATATTTTGTAATTAGAAAAACCTACTTATATAAGAAAATATATTGCCATGAATCGTTGTGGTAGCCTTATATAACTAATGCTTAAAACTATCATGTATTCACATTACAAGAATGCTTTGAGAAATGTAAAAAACCTTAGACAATGGCCCCAGCTCCCCATGCTCTGTGTGAAGAGTCTGAACGAGGCTCTTGCCGCCGTCACTCGTCACCGGGCTTGGCCTGCTTCTTACCTCATACACCTCATTCCACTTTGGACTCAGGTTCTCCTTGATGACCTTGCTCTGGAAAATTTGGTTGCCCACTCGGATAATTCCGTAGGGGTCTGATTTTCCCTTAACAAGGCCTTTAAGGTAGGTGTCTTTTCCCTGAAGATCTTGAGCTTCAATAAAATGAATCCTTAGGACACCCTGAAAAGAGAAACAAAACATGTGCCATTGGCTATGGAAAACGGAAGACATACAGTGCATAGCCCAGCAGAGACTCTGACTGCTCAGCTGTGACACGTTCCCAGAGGACAGTGTTAAGAAGGGAGGGCAGTATGTCATCCCACTAGCTAGGACTCCTCAGCAGAAATGCAGACAGCCCGAGTCTGCTTGGTAGAGGGACACTGACTGCAGAGGTCCCAGTGCAGCAGCGCACTTTCCCCCAGAAAGCTGGTAACACACGGCCACAATGCTAAAAAAAAATTCTTACATTCTGAGACTACGTAGGTAGTAACTAGCACGATAGGGTAGATCAGACCTGATACGAAGCATTTGTTATTCAGCAACCAAGCCATTCAACTTCTAGACCAATTTTATGAAGTACTGTTATTAAGCCTACTTTATAGAGGAGGAAACAGGAACTTTGGAATATGCAGTGTGCATCAAAAGATAAGCAGTTCTTCTCAAATCTTGTTTTATTTATAAGAGAAAAATATTTACTTATTTCTTTTATGGCAAATAAAGCTTGGTAGTGTAATACTCTTCCTCCAAATGCTTAAGAAATTACATGCTTATATTCTTGCCTTCTCAGGAGAAGACATGCTCTAAGAAATTCTTGCTTGTAGTTTCACATGGCTACAGCTGAGATGTGGCCATGTCTTTCCACAAGACTGGCTTTACGTTCAGAGAACAAAGATGGTCGGATCCAGGCCAGCCCCATTACTCCCTGTACTGAGTGCACAAAGAAATTCCTGTATCATAGGAGTTCCCTTTCTTAAATGCAGTGTTATCAATTCTGTTGAATGCCAACAACATAATTTTATCATCATATTACATGGGATATGTTTTCTTAAAAAAATGTAAAAAGTGGGCCAAAGACATAGGTCCTGGGTTTGAGAAAGGAAGGAAGGAGGGCATCAAGGTAATGTTATCTCCATTTGAGGATATAACCCTGCAAACACAGCCATCAAAACGGCATCAGCCTGCCTTGTCCCACTTTAGTAACTCTGAACAGTACAGTGTGTATCAGTACTGCTTCTTACTGTACACAACTCACGGCCCGCTGTCCCGATATCTGTGTACCCAGCATAGATGGCTGACACGCCAGCATCTCCAATGACCACTGCAGTACCTCGCCTTTGCCTACAGCTGCTGTTTACTCAAGGTGACTTCCACAGACATGTGAGCCAGTCTGTCTCACAGGAGCCGAGGCTGAGGCTAACCGTATCTCAGTGTACCTCCATACCCAAGAGCTCTGCTTTTCCTTCCTGTCAGTGCAGCTGTTACACAGTGACTCCTCTGTCACGGTGATGGTCTGAATAAGGATGGCTACCACGGTTCAAGAACTCAAACATTTATGGAGCGGCACCACTTAAACGGTAAAGAGGTGTGGCCTTGTTGGAGTAAGTGGTCACTGGAAGCTGGCTTTGAGGGTTCAGATGCTCAAGCCAGGCCCAGTGTCACTCTCTCTTCCTGTTGCCCGCAGATCCAGATGTAGAACTCTCAGCTACTTCTGCAGAAACATGTCTGCCTGCATGCCACGTGCTTCCTGCAGTGCTGATGCCAGGCTAAGTCTCTGAAAATGTAAATGCTTCCCTTTACAGAAGGTGCATGGTCATGGTATCTCTTCACAGTAAGACTGACTGCACTTACTAGTCACCTCATCTGTAATGTAACTGCAGAGACAGCCCCTGCAGTGTATGAGAGAGACTTCCACCCCATTCTACAAGAGCCCTCCCTGTGTCAGCAGTCTTGGCGCACTTGTTGCTGAGAGTGACTGTCTGCAGAGAAAACAAACTCAGACCTTCTGAGATCACGTCTGCTGTTGTCTGAAGACTTGTGACCACGTCTGTAGAATGAGCCTGCTGGTATCCTGAAGGAACGGCCTGAAACATAAGAACTGCTCAAGTCTCTGGATAGCCTCAGGGTCACAGACTCCTAGTACTTCTCTGAGAGACTGCAGGGCATCTAGCAATATATTAGCACACACTGTTCAGAAAGACAAGTAGTTTAAAGATAACGCCCTGTGCATGAAAAGATCCCAGGACATTTTAAAATACTAGTGGATACAAATGCAAGCTTACCTTTGGTATGGGAAACCGCAACTGAGCTATTTGAACTTCACTGACAAGAGGAACAGTGATTCGATTGGGAAGCACCAGATAGTTTGATATTATATCCAAAATGATAGTATCAGATAAACCACTATTAGTGGAGAGAAAAACAAACAATGAGATAGATAACGCTTGCTATCACCCTTAGCAATAAGCATGCACAACTTAGTAGCCACATATGGAGTTGGGGTTCTCTAACTCTTCCAGGATAGTGCTTAGGATATTACCAGGATAGGTAACACTTCAATGCTTCAGCTATACGGTTGTAATGATGAGGTAGCATTTATTTTTGTAAGAAAACATAAAATTCTAGCTACTTTCAAATATTCCTATATGGTTTCATGACAGAGCTAAGATACATTTCTTTACATTTGTTTTTAACATAAACATTTCAAACTTAAATAAAAGAGAATAACACAGTAAACATTCACGAACCCATTTCATGTTTAGTGTTGTATATTGCTTCCAATGAAGTAAAATAATTTAGTTGTTTTTCCTTCATTCTGTACACACAGTTCTACATACTTTAATGATTTAATCTGCTATTATACCACTGCATAGCAAATTTAGTGGTGTGGATAAAAGACTAAAGGAAAGCACTTTATATCTACTTTTGCCTATTACTCAAGGTGGATGTGAGAATTAAACACTGTATCTATGGCAGTACTTTTGGAGACACAGCCACGTGAGTCTCCTTGCTCTAAAAACCCTTACTGGAACCCGGAGTTTCGAAAGGAGCCAGGATCACTGCGAGCGTTCTTGGGATTAAGTCACCAGCACATGTAAGTGACTGCACGTGCACACACGTCTTCTGTCAGTCATCACAGTCACTACGCAGAACTGACCCACGCATGATAATAAGATGCGGCCCTTCCTTCCCCAGCCTTTCAGTCTCATAAAGGAAAGGGACTCAATAACACACGGCACCATTCCTCCTATTAGCAAGCCACCCTTGCTGTTCCTACTTGTGAAGAGATGTGAAAGACATGAGCTGGCAGGAACTGTAACCTGCTCTTCTGTACACAGTCTTAACAGCGCCATGCTGCTCCAGACCCTACCCGACATTCAAGCACCTGCAGCCTTTCCGGCAGGCGCTGGTCTCCCAGCCTGCCTTTCAGCCATGCTCCTGTGCACACCACTGACTATCGCCTCTCTGGACCAGCCTCTCCCTCTCCCAGGTTCTCTGTGTAGTATAAGCTCTTCATCGAGAGCTAAAGGGGTTTTACTGCCTGGCAACAAAAATGCCTTGTAAAGTGAACCGATTCAGACATCATTCCTATTTTGTAATGACACCAATTCTTTTTGTAACCCATGAATACAACACATATACTCACCTTACAAAGCCTGGACAAGATTTCATTACATTAGACTCAATTACTAAATATTTATCTTCTTTGAAGATTTGTAACATAAGGCTTACTTATACTTGATGTATGCAACAGAAAATCTTTTTAGGATAGGGTCTTTGGTTAGCCTTACACTTGCCAAGAATATACAGCTAAGGGTGGCACTGGGCCTCTCACCTCCCTAAGCACGGGGACACCTGACCGCTGTGCACTACTGTATCCAGCTCAATACAAAACCTTGGTCTGGAGATCAGCAGTCCCAACTTTATATTTTATTGCATAAAATTTGTATCATAAACAAATGATGTTTATACAAATGTATATAATTACACATAAATTATATATATATTATATATCATAAACAATTGATGTTTTATACAAATTATACAATTACACATTAATTATATATTGTATATCTAAAATTATCCTCTTATTTTATGGGGATATTCTTATATATCCATATTATAGACAGCTTACTTTTAATAACATATGCATATTTATCTCTGTATGTGGTATATATGTACATACTTATGTTTCCATACATGCATGCATGCGTGTACATACACACACACAAACACACACAAAGGTATGCATGAATAATTGTGCTTGTGTGCGCATGTGGGGAACAGAGGTCAACCTCTGGCATTGGTCTTCGAAGCCTTCCATCCTTTTTGCTAAGGCAAGGACACTCACTGGGCCCTAGGCTGAGGCCAACCCAGCTGGCTGGTGAGCTTCAGTGAGTCACCTGACTCGTATCCCTGTACTAGGACTGTGAGCACATGTGACTACGTCTGGCTTTTTACACAGGTGCCAGAAATCAAATTAAGGTCTTCAGGCACAGCAAGCACTTTATCAACTCAACTATTTTCCAAGCCTTTTAAGCATGTATTTTAATGATATAATTCCATATATAATACACTATAATATACAATTTATACTACACACATACAATTTACAAATAGAAGGTATTACTGTAAAGAATCTGCTTACATTACAAATCACTGAGTAAGATGAAACTAGATATGTGCGCAAATGAAATGTACATATTCTCATGAGTGTATCTATGATGACTGTGTACAGACCCCTGGTGACTGGTTTTGGACTGGCTACAGGCTTGTGGGGGCAGGGCACACTCGTCCATGCCCCATGGCCACTTACAGAGCTTATACTATGTCATTTCCAGAGCAGACCAGATGATCAGCTAGCCTGCTTATTCCAGCCCACTTATGATGCTAACGAAAAGACAGCACAAGATCCTTTCTCATAGGAGACTCTGAGATAGCTGCAGCTCACATCTGGCCATCCAGCAACACAGCTGCTTGCAGTGGAAGCTCTCCCTTCCCGTGGGCTCGTTAACTGGGAAGGAGGAGTTCACGTAACCAAACATTTCTTGGTGTCTTTGTAGAGCATATATATAACTCAAACCTGACTGTCAAAGTCACAGGGACCTGTTCAAGACAGATAGACACATAAGGTAACCTGGAGTTTCTTTTAGAATTAGCAGGAAAGAGCGTCGCGTTTGCAGAACAGGACCTCACAGCTGCTGCACACAGCAAGACAGGTGCGAGCATTCGCCTGCAAGGCTAAGAACAGCCCACACCATCTGGCATCAAGCTCCGCCTGAGCCTGACGTCCACAGAGAATGTGGACACAGCACTTGTGCTGTGAAGGCCAGTGCAGGCTAACCTCTCTGGGGAAAGCTGTGAGACTGCTCTTCTGATCCATGCCCCAGGGCTAACAACAGTGCTCAGGTCAGCCGCTGTGCTGAAGGACAGCACTGAATTTTAAAGGTGTTATTTCCACATGAATAGTAAAAGTATTGTTTATAAATGAAAAGGTATCAAATGGGAACTGGATGTGTAGCTCAGAGATATAATGTAGCTTAGCAAAAACAAAATCCTGAGTTTAATCCTCAACATTGCAAATAAAAAAAATTACTTGTGTCAATTTTAAGTCAGTATTTTGTTTGTAATCAAGATTCTAAAAATGTCAAGAAACCTTTTAAAGCTGTACTTTTCTATCCACGGATCTTTTAAAAATAATAGCCCTTCTCCTAACCTGGTAAACCATAGTGTATTTTATTTTTGACTGTGTCTCAGATTATTAGAGATGCTTGTTTTTAAAGCAAAACCTTGTTCTAGCAGTCATTTCAGAGGCACAAATAAGCATACAGAAATAAGAAAAATAGTCTGAAAGAAAAGTTTTGGAATTGAATTTGTAAGCTGCTTAAAGGTAAAAATCCAAAGATTATAAAATATCTAATAGAAGCAAATGTAACTAATAACTAATAAGCCATACATTTTAACCTTCAGATAAAATAACGAAAACATCAAAACGTCAGTTTTGCAGACTATAGATTCCAGCTTTTCCTGTAAAGTGGTGACTGAGAGATTGGAGTCCGCCAATCCGCCATCTCACACAGATGGGCAGTGACCCAGCTGACCCTCCCGTGGGGGTGGGGGGGCGGCAAGTGGTGACTCAGGTGCTGGTTACAGAACAATCTCCTTGTTTTTTATTCACTAAATTGTTACGGAACAAAGAGTTTCCACTTCTGTGGTTAGAAACTTCGTAATCATGTTCCCTTTGACCCACCCTCTCAAGAATAAAGGTGAAGAGGGGAAGCCACAGCTCAGAGAGAACACAGCAGCAGCTACAAGCAGCAACAACACTTACTTCAGCCCAGGGATGTCCAGAAGATTAGTCAGTCCTGTCCAGTTAATCTCTAAAAGCTGTTTTTGTAAAAAGGAGGAAAAATATTAAAGATCAAAACTGCTTCCATGTACCACAGCAAATACAAGTGGGTGTGTATAAGTGAAATGAGATGGTAAGTACTGCCACACCTTTTCCCAATAGTAATACATCATCAAAGACAGCTTTCTTTCATTGCACATGAAGACCTAGACCGTGGTTCTTTATGGTAATGTCATAGTTTTCCCTACTAAAAACATGTAATAATTTGTTTGCCCTTCCTCTTATGTATAGGTCCCTGTAATATCTTCAATTTCTCCTTTATTACAAGTAAACAACACAGTGAATATCCTTTATTTGTTAGTGTGTTTTTCTTATTTGTTTGAGACAGATCTCACTATGTAGCCTCAGCTACCCTGGAACTCATTATGAAAAGCAGGCTGGCTTTAGACACAGAGATTAGCTCCCAAGATCCGTAGTCCAGCAGGAAACGCCACAGAGTACCATGAAAAATAAAAACTTCAAAATGGAATGTGATGCTAAAGATTATTTTCATTTTCAGTATAAATACCTAGTGATCTCCAAAATTACTACTTACCTTTCCATTAATGTAAAAGTATGGGACAGAAACATTTTTTCTCTATGCTGTCACCAAAACCAGGTATTAAAACTCACCCCATATGGTTGTTGAATAATGGTACTTTACTTTGAATTTTTTATTTGCATTTTCCTATGAATGGAACACGTTCTGTCTTTTCACTGAATATATATAGTCATGAAAGAAATTCTTATGTATTTAATTAGGATTCTATTAAGTAGACAATAAGCAGTTAGAACTTCTGGTTGTAAATACTGATTTTCTTTACCAGAATGGACACTATGTACTCGGTGTTTTATACTTGTAGAGGACATGTTAAGTGAAACTGCAGGCTCTCTCCATCACGCACAGAGCTAGAAACCACATTGCACAAGTGCCTTCTGGGACACAGCAAGTGCCAGGACCAGCGGGGTCACAGAGAGACCCTAACAAACAACAACAACAACAACAACAAAACAAAAACCAAAAAACTGAATGGAAAAGTATACTCAATCTTGAATCCGGATTGCAAACTGAACGTAAACCAAGGCTTTCCCAGGTCTGCTTACGGATTTGCCCCAAAGGCAATCATGGTCTCCAATTAAGATCTCTAAACATGGTTCTACAAGAAGAAATCAGGCTTAGAACACAGCAAACAAAAACCCCCCAAAACCAAACCAAACCTACTTTTCACTCGAGTACTCAGGCAAACTCTCCAGCCACCAGCAGAGATGTGAGAGGAGCTTCAGGACCAAGAGTAGGGGCTGGGAAAGCCATGAATCCAAGGTATCCGGGTCTGCATCAGTGTCTGACGTCACTTAGGTGACTGACAAGCACCTGACCAACAGTTTCATTTTCCTTTCTCTTTCCTCTTATGTCTTTAGGTCAAAGAGTATCTTTAGCATTCAAAATGGAGCAGGATTTCCTTACCCCGGCAGAATATTCTGATCTGGGCATGGTGGAGCATGCCTTTAGTCCCTGCACTTTGTAGACAGAGGCAGGTGGATCTCTGATTCAGGGGCAGCCTGGTCTAGAGAGTGAGTTCCAGGACAGTCAGGGCTATACAGAGAATTAGGTCTCAAAGAACAACACAGAACAGCCCACCCCCGAAAGGACCTACAGGGAACACGATAAAGAACATTCTGTGCTTACCCTGCACAGCATGATGGCAAGACACAACAGGGCTGATGCATGTATGAACTCACAGAGACTATGACAACATGCACAAGTTCAAGTCAGACAAAAATCCCAGTAAAGAAGATGTGAGCACAAAATCCCACCTGCTAATCAAGAAGCTATTTGCAATTGATTCCTGCAGAAGGAAAATACATTTTCTTAAAAGGAACGACACTGGCTATACAAACCATACTCCAGCACAGGCTGCATGCTTAAGAGTAGCTGACCAGGGATGCAGAGGCAGGAGGATCGCTGTGAGTTCAAGGCCAGCCTAGTCGACAAAGTGAGTCCAGGACAGCCAATGCTTCACAAACAGAGACCCTGCCTCAAAACCAAAAACCAAAAAAAAAAAAAAAAAAAGAAACAGTAGCTGACTAACACAAAACGAACATCAAGATTTTTTTGTGCATGTTTTTTGTTTTTTTTTTTTGTTGTTGTTATTGTTTGGTATTTTTGTCTTTTGAATTTTATTTTGTTGTTTTATTTTTTTGACTTTTTTAAAATTTATTTATTTTTTATATTGATCACAGGTTATTTACTTTGTATCCCAGCCGTAGCCCCCTCCCACATTCTCTCCCAATCCCACTCTCCCTCCCTCCCTCATCTTCTCCTCGCCCCTTTCCAAGTCCACTAATAGGGGAGGACCTCCTCCCTTTCCATTTGACCCTAGCTTAATCAAGGCTTTTCAGGACTGGATGCAATGTCCTCTTCTGTGGCCTAGCAAGGCTGCTCCTCCCTTGGTGGGGGGGAGCCGAAGAGCTCACCGTTGAGTTCATGTCAGAAATAGTCCCTGTTCCCCTTATTAGAGAATCCATTTGGACACTGAGCTACCATGGGTGTTGGTTTTATTTTATTTTTTTGTTTCTTTCCTTTTTTTAAAGAGAGAATAAACACGACGTTGAGTAGGGAGGTGTGGATGGTCCGAAAAAGACTGGGAGTAGGAGAAAGCATACGATTATATAATATATATTATAAAAATGTAGTAAGATTAAAACATACCCTTTAAAATAAAAATAAAGGACATTTACGACACAATTTTATGATTTAGTTACAAAAGCCCTTTCTGTTGATCAGTAATTTACTTTAGGAAATAAAAATATGCCAGAAATGTAATGTGAAATGTATGCTTTTAATACAAGTTCAAATTTAAGTACCTGACATGTATCTTCCCAGAAGGTGCCTAATTTTGGTTGACTCATATACAGGGATATGGGTCAAGAGAGCCATACAGACTAGGATAGGATAAGCTTACTGCAGGGGCACAGATGGAAGCTTCTCAATAAGACTAGGTGAGACCACTACAATTAACAGAACAACGAAGGTGATGAAACCCAAACAATTGTTATTTAATACTTTTTCTTAGGAAAGAAAACATTTCAGTTGTAAGTTTCCTAGGCATAGTTTATATGTCACTATGCTGTTTGTGACACTTTTTGAAAGAGAGGTAATAAATGAAATTTAATCTTATATATTTATTTTTAATATCTGTTCTTTGAAAATGTTATACATATATACGCACGATGTATGTTAAGTATATCCATCCCCAACTCCATCTCAGTATTGTCTTAACAGTATTAAGTAGAAGAGTTAGTTCTATATAAAACATTCTCAAAAAGAAAATTCAAACTTTTTAATAGTATTTGTTAATATCATCATTTAAGAATTTGGTGATGAATACTTGAGATTTACATTATAATAAGATTTTATAATCTTCAGTAGCTATGAGGCATTTTTGGATCTGTTAAATACTTGGATGAGATGAAGACAGATGTTAGAAAAGATAAACAGGGGCTAGCTTTAGCTGAAAAGCTTCAATTGCTACCAGAATTATGTTATAGATAAAACAAAACTGAAATTTTTAGAAAATAAAAACACAAAAAACAATAACAATAAATGTCACAAGGCACTTGCTGTCAAAACCAAAAACATGTATATGATAAATAAAAACCCAGAAAGGACTGTCCACCCAGTTTTGATCTTCAAACTCCCTTTATCACACATCATTCCATGCAGTAATCTGAAAACCAGTCCCACTACCAGCTTTGATATCCTACTTATTTTACTAAGCATAACTCAAAAGAATTCTCTGCCTAATTCTACGATTCATCAGTTCCCCCCCCCCCCCCCAATGCACTGCTGTTCCTCAGCAAGACGGCAGAACACAAGACACGCCCACAGTCAATGTGCTAGAGAAGAAGCACGGCCACCACCATGTGCTTTGACTATTAGTTACTTGGGAGGCTAAGGCAGGAGAACTGCCTGAGTCAAGAAATTCAGAGCCAGACTAGGCAACAAAGCAACCCTGTTTCTTTTATTATTTTTGTAAATAATAAAGTATCATAAAGTATCTAGTGGCTGATCTCCACTTGTTTTGTTTATTTTTATTTTTTTATTTATTCATTTTACATGTTGGTCCTAGTGAGAATTCTACCTCAAGACTCAGGATGGTACAGGCTATGGAGAGTGTGCAAGACTGCCCAAACAATTAAAGGCATCAGAGCCCAGGTCTCTCACAAACTAAGCACACTAACTACTCTTCACAACCCACGGGGTGCTCTAAACCCAGAGGCCTGGGTGCTGACTTGCCTGCGGGTGGCAGAGGGAGCCCCTGCACTGCCCCTCTCGCACTCCCAGACATGGCCTGGGAAGAGAGCAGAGGTGCTGAGCACTCCCCCGGCCGAGGCGCACTCCCTTTCCCCTGGCTCCACAACCCGCTCAACCACCACACTGCACTGCTTCTTCCAGCTGCAAAAACACCCTAGCTCCTGGTTCCAAACTGCTTCTGAGATTCAACTGCACAATTAGCTTATGTTTTAAGAAATCCCTCTACTTCTTTTAACACTCACTTTACCTAAAATATTTTAATTTCTGGGATCCTAGCCTACTAAGATTCAAGTTCTTCCCATTAAAACTCTAAAAGGAAGATACTTCTATTTAACAAAGAAATGCAATCTGTGGTTCAAACAACACCAGGAACCAGTTCCCTATAATGGAAGTTTTGGTTTCTTTGTAAACTCTGTTATGTCATGTAAATATGTTTTTGTTTTAATTCCAAGTGTGGGATTTTAGTTGGGCTATAGTTTGTCCACAGCTGTTAAATGTCTTGTGCAGGACATGGCTTTTGCCAGCTGGTAAGTGCAGCACAGAGAGGGGCCTGGTCTAGGGCTCTGAGGCTATAAATTGAGAGCCGAGAAAGAGAAGGTGTGGCGTGGGTGTTGGCGTGTAGCAGTTTGGAGAGACCAGAGAGATGGACAGTGTGGCGGTTGGGAGCAGAGAGAGATTAGAGAAAGGCTCCAGGGCGCTGAGGCTTGGAGGAGTCTGCTGGCTGTGTTTGTGGTTGATGGGGACTGGTATAGAGCCCTGAAAGAACCCGTCGACCCGAAACATCCTGGAGAAGTAGAGGGTCCCGCCCTCCCCACTAACCCTCTCTCTCCTATGTAGGGTGGGAGGTTGGAAAGGAGGTTGACACTCCAAATAAAGTAGTTTTAAAACTGCGTGCTGCAGTTCCCCTTCACCTGGCTGAAATTAGTCCCTCAAGAAAATCACACAGACCAAGCATGGGTTGCTCTGTGGAGGACTTCTAGACTCTTAAGAGAGAGAGAACCGAAGGCAACTGTGAACAAAAGCCCCTGAAAATGAGCACACCTTCCACTGGCCCTTCTTTAAGTCTGACTTAAAAACTTCAGGGTAAGAACAGCTTAACTGGAGGGCTAGAATTTTCCAGGTCCAGAGTTCTAATTATAATTCATTCTGGGCTACCTGTAGCTCCCTAATAGTCACTCCTTGCCCACCTCTTTGTCTGACTTCACATCTTTGCGACTCCCAGGAAAAAACTTTTAGAATGTATTAAAGAGACCAATGGCTTTCACCAACCATAACGCTCAGAGTGTCATCAGACAGTGTCTGAGGCCTGGCACAGAGACTTCTCTACTTTGCTTTAATCTGCCTACCTAACATTTTCACCAATTAATTGAAAAGTGCTTTTATTTATGACTTTGTTCTGCTACTAGAAAAACCTCCCCAAACTGTTACCACATTTAGAACATGGAATTTGGGGTAACCTAAATCTGTGTTCCCAGGCCAAGGTCACTCACAGTTGCCTCCAAAAATAAACTATCTCTTATCCCCTTTGAGGTAAGAGTTGTTTTCGGATTGACACAAAACCTTCAGAATGTATGCTTTAAGGATATCAAAAATGTAGCTACTTAGATTAAGTCCTATGTACATATCCAATAACAAAAGGGAATCCTTTGGTGCTTCTAAGCCATTACTTTTTGTGTATGTACTTGTGTAGGCACTATAGAGATCAATACTGGGGTCTTCCTTTATTGCTCTTCACTTTTAAGACAAGGTCCCACTGAACACACAGCTTACCCACTTCCTAGACCAGCTGCCGTGAGCTCTGGGAGGATCCCTGTCAGTCTGCCCTACCCCTGGCTCTGGGTTTATAGACACATGCCAGCACACCTGGGTCTGTGGCTTCTGGGCATCTGTGATCAGGTCCTTACTCAGTGAAGTACGCAACAGGCCATTTACTGACTAACCTTTCGGTTACCACAACTTTTTTCACTCCTAGAAATTCGAACCTATGGCCTGACACATTGCAGCTCTACTGCTGGGCTTGATCACCATCCATGATCAGAACATTATCCTAGCATCACCCATGTATTGAACCGCAATGCAATGCTCACTGTGTGCTTTTAAGATCACCGACATTTAGTCGTGAGCTAGGCATTAGTGTCACTTGTGTGTTACAGACAGGGGCCTGAGACGTAGAGAAATGGAGTGGGCTGCTGAAACAGCACAGCACGAAGACCAGGAGTAGAACTCAGGCACTGCAAAGCTGTCCCCAGCTGCTCCCAGTCTCCAAAGCACACCACTATCCACTTGGACTCTTCACTTGCTTCAAACTTCATTATGTCAAGAATTTTCAGGGCTCCCTCCACAACATAAACCAACAGGCAGAAAAGCGCCAGTGTTACACTGGTCTCTGGCACTTGTTTCTGAATCATCGGGGCAATGAAAATTAGGATAACAAAAAAGCCCTCTTCGTTGTACTTTTCACCAGTCTCAGAAAGAATTATCTGGCAGCTAACAGTAATAAGTTCTCATATTTTCCAGCTCAAAGTAACCGAAAAAAATTCCCTTCCCTCTAAAGCATGTTTCATGGCTTTATTCACCATATAAGGAAAAGGGAGACTGAGTATTTCACTTCGTCCTTCTCCTCGAGGTACTCACACCCCTTTGGGAGTTAATACTGTAAGTCATTTTAAAGGGATTTCATCTATGGAAGAACGGTGCCATGAAACAGCACCATTAAGTTTAGGGAAGATAAAGATCTTGTTACTCTAAGGGAGAGGATCTTTGTTAAGAATATTTCCAAAAGATAAATTAAAGTTTGTAGCAATTTATTAAAGAACTTTAAAAATAGTCATTAATGGAGTCAGTTCTTACATAAACTGGTTTTTAAAAACTGGTAGGAGGAAAAAAGTTATTTTAAATCTTTTACAGATTTCTCAAAAATTTAATAAAGTAAAAATTAAGAGATTCCTTGATAGCTTTTTGAACTGTAATGTGCATGGTCTACTTAACCACATAAAAAATAAGAAGGTTAAAATGATAATGCTGGAGGCAGCAGATGCATTTTCATGCAGAAAAAGCACTACCCATGGTACACTTGGTTTGGCCTACGTATACTCATATTTTCAAAACCAAGTAATTTTCATTAAGTTTTTTGAGTCAAATTATACAAATGAACACATCCATTTAAAATAACACATGCTATGAGCAGTCCCTCCCCAGAAAGCCTGCCAGGGATCACAGCAGTATCTCTCCTAAAGGGCAGCTCCCCAAGACTTCCTGACTCTGCAGACATCTGTGCCCCCAGGTTAGCACTAATGGCCTCTGCTGTATAACTTTCAATACTACAGTGGTGACTTGGCCTGGAAGAAAGAAATCTTCTAGAAATAAGTGAAACAAAATGGCTCAAGATAGAATTTTGGGGAAAAGGAAAAAGAGAAAAAGTAGAAGGCACTGTTAATATTTTTCCTCAGAGGACATTCAGTCCCTGGGACACCCAGTTAGGCAGTAGTGAGAATGAGGCTAGGAGAGAGCTTGAGCTTTGATTCCAGGAAGAATGCTTGCCCAGCACGCACACAGTCCTGCCTTCAGCTCTGAGCATTGGAAAGAGCAGAAAAAGGCACTGAAGACAGCATTAGTCTTAGGCTGCAGGAGATGAGGTAAAGAGACAGAAGTCTGTCTTACAGGAGGAAGAAATAGCCTTCTCTTGTTTCAGGCTAATAGTGTATAATAAGCACACGGCATTTACAACAATAACAAAAAGAAATATAAACTAACATATGAAGTGACAACATCATGCTTAGCCAAGTATTAGAAGGCCAGTCAAACGTTCCATTTAAAAGCACAACTCATAAACCCCTCAAAAAGAAGGAACATTTATTTCAGGCGGAGGTCAGAGGAAGGTTACAGGTATGGTATTACCTTAGAGTGTTTAGGGATATAAAATCTGTATCAGACTGATCTGCATCCATGCCAAAGCTCTACTACTTAATCGTTCTGTGACTTATACAAATTGACCTCTTAATCATAGTTCCAGGTCAGTAAAAAGAAACAATATTTAGCTTTAGAATTGGGCAGACTAAATAAGCAAATGCTATAAAAATCATACTTAGTGACAGGTTAAATGTAGCTTCAACTTACTTAGTCAAAAATGTTTTTCCTAACTTCCACAAAAAAAACATTTTTTATATTCAGAGAAGACCCTCGTTTATCAAGAGATAAACCCTTACTTAAGGTGTAAAGAAGTTTAAAGCTCAGGACTCACCCATCAGGAGGGAAAAGGTAGGTTGAGGGCAGATTTTGTCCCTCCACTCTATCCTCCATGTGTCCGTGTCACCAAGAAGAGATAAAGATAAAGGCGACATCATGAAACGTGTACTTACCGGCTTCCTAAGGAAGAAGATAGACAAGGCTCCAACTAACGGCATGTCCCCAATCAGGGGCTCCAGGATCACCCGCATAGTCCCATGGACCTGAACAGACAAGAACCACAAGTCAGAGCACAGTTTTGATGGCCACCTGGGTAATGAAAACTCCATAGCTTTTCTTTTTTAATATAGCCTACAAAACTCGAAAATGAAAATTTGAAAAACTTACCTGAATACTTTTCACACCAGCTCTACAAAAATATCGTTTGATCTCCAAATCAATCTCACAATTTCCTACAAAACTAGCACAGAAAAATTCTGCATTACATAAAGTGAGTGGAATTAACTATTTTCTTAATTATCTACTAATAATAGGCATTGCAAAGTACACGTGAGAAGAAAATGATGGTAAGTTAGCAATACCCACCCTGCAGGCAAAGCTGATGAAGAAATGTAGCCTACACGACAAGACTGTTGTGCTACTTCAGGTTCAACCCTGCTGTAGCATCCCATGAGGAACACTGTGCTTAAGCTCTTGCTTTTATTACACATGAAAAGCTTAAACTTACATAGCCAACATATGGGAGGCTGAAGCTGGAGGACCACCAGCTTAAGGCCAGTCTGGAATGTACAGTATAAGACCCTGTCTCAAAAAAGCAAAAACCACGCCAACAAAAACAAAAGGGATGAGGATGCGGCTCAGTCAGTGGACTGACTGCCTAGCATAGAAGAAGCAAGAAGTTCTGGGTTCAATACCCTGTTCTCTCAGAAATCAGGCATGGACGGAATGTTGAATTCTTAGCACTCAAAGGAATAAGCAGGAGAACGACATCATCCTCAGTTATACAGAAACCTCAAATCCTATCTCAAAAACCAAAAATTTAATAAACATGTAAACCTCTAGTTTCAAAGGAAAATATAAAAACAGTATAATTTCTGGAACACCCTTTTGATGGAAGGTGTTTTTATTTGTACAACAAAACCTTTGTTTAAAACTCAACGAATGCTAGATTTTATTTTGTTGGCAGTAGATCTCACCACATTTTTCATTAGTGACAAAAATCCTCACTCAGATGCTAAAGGGTTTTATGATACTAAAGGTTAGAAACAGCTTGTTTTGAACTTTCACTTTACTCAGAGATTAACTTCAAACATAATTATGGAACAAATGGTTCTTTTCTATGACACTGCAAAGCAGGCGTTTATTTCCAACACAAACATGAACTGCTGAATACACTCCACATGGGATGGTGTGCGATTTGATCTGTCTTAGCTGGGATTGCTATTGCTATGATGAAACACCATGCATGCCTAAGAATCAAATATTGTAAGATGAAGATTTCCTCACAATAAAGATAGTCAATATTTTTTTTTATAAAATAAAGGTAATTGATATAAAGTCTATACAATTATTATATTAGTGTACTTTGGAAACTCACAAATGATAAAAAAAAATTACCTTTAGTCTAGGCTCAAAAAAAAAGACTGCTAATAATTTCCTGCCTTGTTTACTTTGCACACTGATGTGTAGGACTCATTACCAAAGGCTAGGTGGCTGACCACAGCATCTGAGACTCTCTCTCTGCCTCCTCCACAAATGCACCACCATGCTTGCTTGCTTAGGATTCTGGGCCTGAACAAAGCAACCATTTTACCAGTCGAGCTGTCGCTTCATCTTACTACAACTGAAATTGTTCTTATTTCCTTTTAGGATGTTTCATTGTTAATGTACAGAAACACAATTCATTTAACTGCATTTTGCTGAATTCATTTTAAAGTTTTAAGAGTTTTGTTGTTGTTTTGAGTCAGGGTTTTACTACAAAGCCCTGGCTGGCTTGGACTTGACTGCAGGCCAGTCTGCCTCCAGAGTGCTGGGATTAAATGTGTATGCCATCACACCTGACTTTAACACTTTCTGTGGATCTCATCATCTGTAAACACTGACTTTTCAATTTAGAGTCCTTTTATTTCATTGTTTTGTCTACTCTAGGTTGAACTTTTTTTTTTTTAAACCATGAAAGAGTACTAAATGTTAAACAAATCTGCTGTATCAACAGAGATAATCAAGAAGGACTCCCACCCCACCCCACTCCTTAAAATAAAGCAGTCTATTTTAAAGATTGGTCTTCATATCCTGAATCACATTTGCATTCTGGAAATAAGTTCTACTTGTTGATGGCATATAATTTAGATTCAATTTGCTAATATTTTGTTGAAGATTTTTATATTAAGGTTCATAAGGATTATTTATTATTGTTTTCTTATAGAGCATATACTTTTTTATCCAATACATTTTTAGAAATTTATTCTATTTTATGTATGTGGGTGTTATTCCTATACATATGTCTATGTACCTGGCATGTGCCCGGTGCCCATGGAGGCCGGAAGTGAGCCCTGAATCCCTGGGACTGGAGTTACATATGGCTGTGAAGAGGGTGGGTGCTAGGAATCAAACCCAGGTTGTCTGGGGCAGTAGAACTGCTCTTAACTGCTGAGACACCTTTCCAGTCTTATTATATTTAATATACTTAATGAGTTATGGTTATCTAGTCTATGAGGGACTTAAAGGTTGTTAATATTTAGATTTGGAAGAATTTAGTCAAATTCCAATGAAGAACAGGCAAGCTACTTATTATAACCTCCATCTTGTACATACAGCTAAGTGAACACTATGTGTCAGTAATCATGGTGAAAATACAACACAAATAAAAACTTACCTAATCTGAAGGTCCAGAATAATTTGTCTTTTGTCCACATTTTCGGTATAAACCTTGACACCGTTGACTCTAAGGGGCTGCAATAACAAGAAATAGCTTAATTTAAAATACACAAAGGTTTAAAAGCGAAGAAACCCTACAATAACGCAACAGACGTGATAAGAACAAATTTAGCATTAGACTACAAGCATAATTCTAGTTTTCTAACACACTGTTTAACTTTGATGATTTCTTTAACTTGTATTCCTCAGTTTTCTCATCTGTAGAATATAAACAATGTGGCATCTATGTGAGATTACTGTGAATTAAATGACATAATGAATGGAAGTACATTGTCAGGCATACAGTAAGTATTCAATAAACATGGGTATTACTGTTGTTGTTAGCACATGTATTAAATATATTTGCTTTTATTGTGAAGCCCCATCTCTTTCAATTAATCTGATCCTTTTCTTCTTCCCTATCCTTATCAACACTTCCCATTACTTTTAATTTATGTTTTATAAGTTTTTACTTTAAAATTTCACAGAAATTGGGCTTTTGAGTAGATAGAAAACAGATGATATAGCTGAGTGTGTGCTGCAGGTTATAATCACAACATGGAATTGGCAGTTAAAAGGCCAGCATGAGCTACATGGTGAGACCCTGTCTCAAAAAGAAAAATAATAATATATGGTGCAGATAATTGACTATGCAACCACAAAACACAGATCATAAGACATGCTGTATTTCTTTTTTTTTTAAGACTTAATTTTACTATTTGAGTGCTGAGGCCTAAGAAAGAATCAGGTCTGCTGAGCTGGAGCCACAGGTGGCGACAAGCCAGTCGTCAGTGCTGGAGGAGCTCGAACCACTGAAACCCCCTAAAGTCCATCCTGTGCTTCACAGCAAGCCTCTCTCAAAAGCCAAAAAAACCGACCCACACACAGAAAGAGAGAGGACGAGGGAGAGAGAGGGAAAGGGAGGATGGAGCTGGCTGGAAAGAAGAAAGGGTGGGAACAGTGGTGGGAACAGGATAAGAGACAGTGATGGAGGTGTGAGCACAATACAGTACAATACACTGCACAAAATGCAAGCAGAAAAATGTCAAAAATTAAACACCAACAGTACAGAGAATGCAAAACACTCAATATTCTCTCAAAATATTTATCATGTGCTAGAAGTTATTATTTAATAATAAAATTTTCTACAATAAATATATATTAAGAAATGATTTCTCATGTAACTTTCAGGAAATGTTGGAAAACTAAGAAATTTGAACAAAATCAAACTTTATATAAAATATTTATTTAATAATGCAAAAATATGAGTGATATAATACATATGAAATCTACACAGGCAAAATCATTGTTAAACAAATTGATATTTGTTAAAGCTAGTAATCTGTATTTAAAATTGTCATTATTACAAAAAAAAGTAAAAAATAGGGCTGGAGAAATGGCTCAGTGGTTAAGAGCACTTGTTGCTCTTCAGAGGGCTGGAGTCTGGGTCCCAACACCCACATGAGGCATCTGTACAAATGCCCATTAATCCATCTCCAGAGGCTCTGGTACCATCTTCTAGCTTCCAGGAACACCTGCATGCATATATGGCATACCACACACACACACACACACACACACACACACACACACACACACACACAAATAAAAATTAATTTTAAAAAGTACAAAGAAAAGAAAGAAGCAACAAAATATAAAAAACAGCACAGTGAGAATGAGGCAACAAGCCTACTTCCCAACAGGCAGAAGAAATCAGAAAACACTGTTCAGAAAGAGCCTAAGGGTTTTGTAGACTTTTCAATTGCTCTTCTTGATGAACAATTTCTTTCAGGTCTGTAGTGGTTACAACGTTACTATGTTTTCTCAGCAGTCCTATCGTATGCACTAAGAAAAGGCACTAAGGAAGTACTGACCTGCTGACCCATGTCCACTTTCGTGAAGCTGAAGGTGCTGAGGTGGGCATTTGCTCCCCGCACAGCTGGCTCTATGGTCTCTCGAAAGAGCTTCTCTATAAATTGGCAAATAAAGGGCCACATGTGCTTTACAGTCTGGAAGGAAAAGGAACTCATATTAAATAGGTGTTATGATACATGACATAATTGAGTGAGTCACTAGTTGTAATCATGTGGTCTATTAGAATCTGGCTTTGGAAACTAAGAATGCTCTTGTTATTTAAAGTCAGTCCTGTAAAATGTATTCTAAATATTAAACATTTACTTCCGCAATTAAGTACTGATTAACCAATATGTTACAGGAATTAGTTTTTTTAGTCAGCTATTCTGCTTAAACATGTCTGCATATCTAATAATCATAATCACTAATAAAAGTCCTACAGCTTCAACTGGCTGTGGGAAGACTTAAGCTACAAACCTTGGGCTGGGAGTGTGGCTCAGTGGTTCACTTGTCTTTTGTGGGTGAGGCCCTCAGTTTGCTCTCAACACCACAACAAAACTAAACTAAACCCAACAAAAACTATGACTTCTGTAACTACTCCTGCATTTCCTAATCACATGTAAACTTCTGCTATAGGGTGACTTCTGTCTAGGCCAGGGTTACCACATTGCCTTAGAGATGCTATAGGGTGACTTCTGTCTAGGCTAGGGTTACCACATTGCCTGAAAGATGCTCAAAACACAAGGTAAGAGAGATTCAACCTAAAGCTTATAGGAACACTGAAACAAAAGCATCCTTTAAAAGGTAGTATAGATTGGCGGTTCTTGAGAGTTACTTCTCTCTTCATGTTTCCAGAATGACTGCTTGTGACTTCTATAAAGCATATGTGAGCAGCCTTTATTTAATAAAGAAGACACAAGGACAAGATGGGAATGCCATGCAAGCAAATGCATCAGTCTTCTTAGGTCAGTGACAGCTCTTGATTCTTCCCAAGGGAAAGTTACATACTTGCTTGGAACAGTCCTCTGGGGAGCAGAAGCCTGTTCACTGCAATCTAAATTCCAGTAAGACCAACACTGAAATCCCCAAATATGGGAAGATGGTAGCTGGCCCTCTAATTCCCACTGAATATTTACAATATGCTAATCTTACCTTATTTAGCCATTCTGCTCTTTCAGTGTCTGGAAAATGAACCTGAGAGACAAGAACACATACATGATTTAATGACTCCTCACAATCAAACAAAATGACCCATAGGCTATTTCGTATTCTCTTTGTCCTGTGTTTATATAATACTTCTTTAAAACACTCTACTCTAATGTTTTGGAACACGGTCTCAGAGAAAGGAAGTTGAAAAGTGTGGTACTTAACTTTCCACATTCTGAGAAACTTGGAGGGAGAGGGTTGGGGGCCCACAAATGTCTCCAGAGCCTTCTCTGCCTCATAGCACTCAAGTGGGTATTCCTTGGCATTTGAAACACCAGAGTAAAGAAAAATGCTTTCATGCCTTTAAGAATATTAACATTGCCATCATTCTGCTAAGAATTTAGATTCAGACTTCAAGATCCACCTCTCCTTTTTTTGTTTTCCCTTTTTAGCCCTAGCCAGATGACTTCTCTGCAAGAGCCATTTCCACCAGTCTGCCCTCTCCCAGATGTGCACTGTGATCAAACCTCCCCACAGCAAGGCCTGTATACTGGAAAAGTGATTGAAAATGCAAAAAGAAACCTACTTTAAAAATAGGTGAAGAATGTTTTCTCTGTTGTTGGAGCTAAAATAAAACATCTTTGCAAAAGAAGCTAGTACTATTTTTGGCCACAAAAGGGAGCTTTCAAAAGAGGAGCACACAGGCCCCACACAGTTTGGATCTGGAGGTACAGCAGATCATAGAGCCTGTACTGGTGACTGAGAAGATCTGATGCATGAAGTATAAAGAATCCTTCCTATAAAGGCAGTGGACCAGAAGCTGAGTAGGATATAGTCTCAAGCACCCGGGTCGGGCTTCCAAGGTTTCTGAGACACCAATTGTACTTCTCAAGTTTGATAATGAGAACAACAGAAAATGTGGTCTGGCAGGAGCCAATCTCCAGACACAGGACAGGTAACTATCAAGCCATTGATCACAGACAGCTTATAATGGCTCTGAGAAGCCTGGAGTGACTGACTGCTCCCACTGGGGTCTTGGCAAGAGGAAAATAAGCAGGGTTAGTGATATTGGCAGTGTTACGGGTTCTCTCTATGTCTACAAACAGGCCTAAGTAGGCCTTATTTCCCTTGAACCATATAATATAAAGACTATTTGGTGAACCATGAGACACACCAGAGTGGAAAATCGTCTTTTCTAAATTAGGTAAGCATAAATTCACTGGGGTTGGGTGGGGTACAAAAGCTTCCAGAATGGAGACAATGGCTGCTTTGAAGTTGGGGAAGACAATACTCAACAAGCCAGGGGGTCAAAGTCAGTGAATTGCTTGCTACACACACTTGCTTAAACTCTAGATGCTATGCTCTGCCATCATTGATGGGCAAATTTTAACCCAAGCGAACAAATGTGTAAGAAAGGGTCACACTTTCTCCAAGGAATAGGAGGAAAAGTGGTGATTATAGTGAAGGCAGTAGGCAGTCTTGTTAGACTTATGAAATTAGGTCACAAAAGTAATTCATTTGCAATCAGTTTGTTGTCATTTCTTTGCATTACTTTGAAGTATTTCAGTAGTGCGATCAAGAATGGGACAGTGAGTGGCAGGCAGAGCATTAAAACAGATATTTGCATCTTTCTAATTTATTGTGAGGCTCTCTAACATTCTACCTTTTTCCTGTACACCAACCAAACAAGCACGGGAGGCAACAGAAAGCTCAAAAGGCCAATGCTGAGCATCTTCTGTTTGCTGACACGGAGCTGCTGCAGTGCACATGCACTCTAAACTTCTGTAATCTCAGAGTGACTGCCAAATGGACATTTCCGTAGGGCCTTATCCTGGCCCTTTGATGTCTGACTGTCCTCACCTGCTTCCCCCAAAGGCCTCTCCTTGCCTGCCCAATTGAGCTACCTGAACAATATTCTAAAAAACAGGAACTTCCTTTTCAATTCCCCTTACTTTGAGTGCATGCAAATATATCAAATAGTTTAGCTTCCTCAGCTTGAACTTCAAAAGCAGACCCATTTTCTCTGGGTCACGACTCAAAGACCCCACTTTCTTCACATCCTGTTGAGTACAGCCAGAGTAGCCATGGCTGTGGACATGGAGTGACGTTCTTTCCTACTTTCTTCTCCTGCCAGCCTTTCACTAAGAACCAGCTCACTTCAGTTTTGGTCGGCTTCCTACTCAGCACTTTACCACTTAAAGATCAATCAGTGCAGAAATACAGCATTTGTCAGAAAAGTCAGCATTTGTCACAACATACTCGAAACAATCCCCAATGGACTCGGTGTCAAACATCCTTCTGCCTCCAAGAGTATCCCTTAAACTTACTGGACCATGTAAGCAGACCTTCTACCAAGCATCAGATACTATCCTATTCACAGCCACTCTGTAACTTAATTTACCAGTTGAGACAGAAGGTATTAGTCTCCATACCCCCCCCCCCCAGTACATGATATAGTATGACTATACTAAATCATACTTGTAAAATAACATCAAATGAACTTCTGGCCTTCTAATAATGTCTTCAAAAAGTTTAAGGAAGGACTATGTTTAATAATAGAAGCTACAGCCAGATTTCTAGCCAATAAACAATTAATAGGGACTATGCAATCTTAAAACACTTTGCATAGACATATGTGTGTATGTATATGCCTATACATATATATATATATATACATATATATATATATATATATATATATATACACACACACACACACACACACACACATATACATACACACACAACTATTTTTAGGTTATATACACCTATAAATGTACAGAACACAAAATTAAGTATTGAATAAATAACAATAAAAAGAATCTTGATTTTTTTTCTCTGCTCTCACAGTTTAATTCTTTGTGACAGCCAAAAAATTAAACTGTCAATCATTACTTTAAGATGAAGTAATGTCGCAAGCTTGGTATGCTGGCATACACCTACAACCCTAGCATTAAAGGCGGCAGGAAGTGGTGGGCCTGGGTTACTGGAGATACAGTCAAATTAAAAAGCAAAGAAAGTACACAGAAGTGCTATTTTTAACAAAATAATTAAAATTATGTGAAAATATAATGTTCACAAATTAAACCATACTTTATAATAGAAGGAAATAATTTTCAGATGTAGGGTTCTCTTAAAATGTAAGTAATCTATCCCAATTTTGAAAAACTTGTAATATATCAAGTTAAGCAAACACCTCCCTGACAACACAGTACAATGCAATGAGTCCTGGGAGTGTCTCCGAGTGAGAGCTTTCCTACTCTTCAACACTGACTGCTTAGGGTCTGCTAATGCACGCTGAATTACTTTGGCCAGCCAGGTCCAGGGATGGGAATACTCAAAACTCATGCAGAAAAGCTTCTCTATTCACAGCTGTACACCAGAACAAACCCAGCACTGACACCTGTGGTCCCTGACTTCCCTCAGTGTCTTTTGCTACGGGATGACTCTTTAATTGCTGCACACATGGTGAATGTTCTCCCTGAGGAACTCACATACACATCTTTTAGAGACTTGCTTTGGAGAGGTTAGCGCACTGGAGGGCTCTGGCCTTATCTGGGTAGTTCACTAACATTGCACAATTAGACAGTATGCACGTTTGCACACAATGTGTGTGCACGAGCACCCCACCCACCCAGTCCCTGACTCTGTTCTTGACATGTAGCTCATAAAGCCCTCTATAGACAAGGACACTGGCGAAACAGGGCAGAAAGCAAAGAAAAAAACTAAAGGGACACGAGAATGAAAAAAGCCCCTCACCTCAGCCTCGTTTAGGTAATTCATCTGTGTAGAGTCAGGAATTTAGACAGAGCTAATGAGAACTCTATAAGACAGCTTGCAAAACTGACTACACTACCACAAGAACCATTCGTACAACCAAAACACAAGAACATGAACCTTTGTGACCTTTGGCTTTCAAAATGTTAGGTCTCCCTTTTCATCTGAAAACCTATACAATAACAGGCCTTATAAACTACCTTATAGTCTCACTCGAAAGCAAAGCAAACCCTTCAGATAAGAGAAGCTTAGCTTAAACGTAAACATGTTAAGCCTTCCTGTTATAAACTTCCCTATTACAACATTCTTACTGTTTAGCCTTGTCTAACTGTGTGAACTCTAATATGGACTTGAGATGAGTGACCTAACTTTCTATGTAGCAGCAGTGAGTCAAGAGGCTGGTTGCACCTGGATAGAGGCTGCTGAAGATACGTCAAGCTGTGCCACTAGCAAGACAGAGTTATATCTCTTGCTACCGTGGACAGTAGGGGAACCTTTTGTTTCATTTTTATTTTTGAGACAGTGTCCAGCTGTGAATCCCTAGCTGGACTGCTGCTCATTGTCAAGACCGAGCCATCCTTGAACTCTGAGGTCCACCTGCCTCTTCCTTCCACGTGCTGAGATTAAAGGCAGTATACCATGATCCTCCCCAACCTTTTATTTTAAATTTGATCTCTGACCCTGGCTTTCACACATAAAGCTCCTAAATACTCTGGAATTTCCTGGGACAGAGAAACATCTCTCCTTCCAATCTGGAGACTCTGTCGGGCTCCTAGTTTCAGGATGGAGTTAAATATGATAAGGGAAGAACTTCTGGCTCCCATGCCTTTACTGTACTGGGGGTAGAGGACAGAGGTTGAGCCAATCAACAATGGCATATGAGTTAATCATTAACCCAAATGGACAGGGTTGTAATGACTCCAGGCGGCAGACCACCTGGGGTTGCCTAGAAAGGACACTGAGGTTCTGCGTTTCCTCCTGGACCCTCCCCTAGGCACCTCTCTTCTGACTGGTGTCTATAGCCTTTGTATCCTTGGTAATTGCCTTTGTAAACACTTTTGCATTCTGTAAGCCACCCTAGCAAATTAAAAGAATTCAAGATAGGAACTGTAGGAACCCATGGTATAACTGGTCAAAAGCATGTATGACAATTTTATTACTTGCAAGTGGCTCCTTAAAGAGAATCGTGGGACTGAGTTCTCAGTTTGTAGTATCTGACACTAACTTCATGTAGACAATGTCAGAAACAAACTAAAGTATAGGATACCCAG